TTCGCTGGGTCATGCCGCCCGCATAAATGGAAGCACTCTAGCTTTGAAAGTATTTGATGCAGAACCTGAACTGATGAAAGCAGAGGAAGATAAAGACCTCAACTCGTAAGCATGTTCCTACACCATTTTAAAAGAGAAATTTTCTGGAGTTTTGATCGTCGTACGAGTGAACTGTCTCTATTACTGCACTGAATATATGGCCATACAATCCGATTGCATTTAGCTCAAAGCTCACTGAAAAGAGATTATAGACATAAGAGCCCACTGTCTTCTGACTTCGGTGGCGCCTAACACATTTAATTACATAATACAATAGATAAATATTTCGTTCCTGACCTACAAAGTATCAGGCAGTACCGGTTATCAGTCCATTGCTTCATCGATATTAATTAAGTAGCGGAGAGTTAAAGTTGTTAATTATGTGGAAATAGTTTTTTTTTTTTATAATATTTAAATAAATATATTTTTTTCCTTCATAGTCAGCCTACACCACTGAGCTGTTTACAACAACTTTGATTATTATTAATAGTGCGTGTGCTTTAGATATAGTAAAAAAGACAACTTGGTAATTTTCAGCCCAGCATAAGTGCTAATAACTTGAGAAACAACACAAAGGCAACAACAAATGAAATGAATATTTGATGTTGCTTCCTAATTCATAAATTGTCTGCTTCGGCTAAATTATAATTATTTCGCATGGGGGCCGAAGACTTGACTCTCTATGTGAAGCGCAAGCTTTACATACATAAATCTTCACTTTGGGAGCTAATAACCCGGTAAGCCAAATGTCGCACTAGTCGAGTATTTAGATGTGTTTGCTACCATGTGTGAAGGGTCTTGGGTACGTACCCTTTACAGGCAACATAAAAACACCTCAGCAGGTTATGTCAACACCCCAAGGGTATCTTTTCATTTGAACTAAAAGCTTCATATAAAAATCCATTAGCCGCTCGGAGGCAGCTTAGGTAAATTGGAAAGACCTCTATTTGTTGGAAAAAAAAATCTGCACGAACCATAAATTGGAGAAGGTGCACGCAAAACAAAAACCTATCAGATCTAAAAGATTGGACAAAAAAAATTCCATCGGCATTGAAAACACTAGGAATTGCAGTCTCATCCCATTTTCTGATGCAGGCAAGGTAGCGAAGTCTCACGAAAGGAGATAAATACACTAGATGATGGATTGAAGAATTCCGTGTTTTCATGTTTACTTTATCGACATCAATACAGCTTCTAGCGACTTCCACAATACCTATACGAGTATGTTCGACTGCCAGCGGTACTTCATTCAAAACGATGGAAAACACATACCAAGTAAATTGTCTTGGATGGAGAGCTTAATGTTTACAAGGAGGTGCAATTTTTTTTTATGTATCAGATCAATGTGTAAACTGATCCCGTGCTTACCCCTTCCTCTCTTGAGTGGGAGTTCTGGCTGGTTATTTATAGTGAAACCCGGGTTTTTATATGATTTCTGTTGTCCAAATTATGGGTAAGAGGTGATGGAATCACTAAATTACGTTTGTACTTACCTGGGATTTTATATTAAGGTTCATGATCAGTCACTTGCTTCTTCTTCTCCATTGATACCGTAGGCACTGCTAACGGAAGTATAGCGAAATTTCTTCGTATAATTGGAAACACCAAATGAACCCACATTTTTCTGCACCTGATCTTTCCAGCAGTGGGAAGGTCGTTCTCTTTCTCTGCTTCTACCGGCGAGTACTTTATCAAAAGCTTACTAAGGTAGCCAGCACAGCCGGCAGTGTAATCGTGTGTTGGCCTTTCTTTGAAGGTTCATGTACAGTTACCAGCCAAACCGAGATTCCAACTACGTAATCGTAAGCATACCTTGCGCGAGATGCGATAACTTTGACCGCCTACAACTTCACAGTCTTGCTACAGCTTTTGTTCACTACTTGAAGTGCGGCTACGATAGGCTATAAAAATATTTTGTCACTTGCGAGAATGTATAGCACTTGACTAGAGTCGCGCCAAGCAAAAATTCTAATCCAATTAAATTAACAACAATTCCTCGGACGAGGGAGTTCAATTTAGATCTTCCAATTTAACCTAACCTAAATTCATTGTAGAAATGGAACGAGTAGTTCCGTCGTGGTGGATAAAAAGAAATTATATTTTTTTAGATGGGAGTGCTCTTCAGAGGATCTATTGCCATTCCTTATAACCGGCACGCACATACTTGAACATCAAGTTTTCTGAAATCCAGCTAAAGCAAGCACCAAAAGCACCGTCAGGATAGGGAAGCACCTCTCTGTGTCGTTCGATACCTAACGAGGTCTCAGACGGGATGTTTCTTCTCTAATTCATTGCTGGAGAAAATATATCAAGTTGCAGAGCTGAATGGAGAAGGTAAAAATCTTCTATAAGAGTCTACAGCTTATGGCGTACGCCGATGATATTGATATTATTGGCCCCAACAACTTTGCGGCGCGTTCCGTTTTTCCCAGACTGAATACGTAAGCAAATCATATGGATTATCGTATACGCGATTCGGCTCTCACGTCACTGTTGATAATCATAACTTTGAAGTCGTAGAATAGAGTCGTATTGTCTATCTTGGAATCGTACAAAAATTTCAATCTGGAATTCCAACACAGAGTCACTCTTGCCAGCAGGTGCTACTTTGGACTGAGTTGGCAATTGAAAAGTAAAGTCTACTCTCGACGAACAAAGATCAAACTCTAAAAGTCATTCATCGTTCCCGTTTTGTTGTATGGAGCGAAGTCATGGACGATGACAAACACCTGATGAGTCGACGTTAGAAGCTTTCGAGGGAAAAGTTTTGCGTAGGATATATGTACATATCATATGGCGGTCCTCTACGAGTTAGGAAAGTGAATACCGCACGATGAGCTCAAAGCCAGTTAAGAAGAAGGAGAAGCTGAAGGCAAGCTAATTGCGGGTACAGCTGGGAATACTGAACATAGTTTCGACATAGTCTTTTGAAATTTTGTGCCATAAGCGATCGACTGATCTCCTATTTACGACCGCAATAGCCGAGTTGACATCAGCACATGCTACGAGCCAGATAAGCAGTAATAATAATAATAATAATAACAATAATAATAATAATAATAATAATAATAATAATAATAATAATAATAATAATAATAATAATAATAATAATAATAATAATAAAACAACAACAACAAGAACAGTATAAGCCCCTTAGCATAATTATCATTCAAATTAAATTTCCTAAGACTGTAAAGAGAATTGAGAGAGAGAGAGAAAGGCTGTAAGCTTTGACTCTTGGAGAATAAAGCAGCTTTCAACACCTATCACTTACTGGGTTGCATTTCTAAAATATGGAGCTATGTAAATATGTATGTATGTATGCACCTTACATTGGCTTTACATGCAGCGTCCACTGTTGCATTTTGGTTGTAGCATTGCTTTTTTCGTCAATTTTTTCTTACCTTTCTTCTGGAAACTGGTATTTGTTAATCATACTATCAGGCGCACTATGCATGATGGTGGCAGTGGCAACAGCAACAGCAACAATAACAGCAACAGCGACAGCAGCCGCCAAATGATTTGCTGAGGGTGAACGCGTATCACGATTGAAAGCGAAATTATGTAGATATGTCTGTTTGTATTGTATGTATGGACGTGTTAGTGAATGTGTGTTATGGAAAAATGGTATGTACTAAAATAATAACATTAAACGCAAGTTCGTTGCAATATTTTACAACTAACGCTGATGACGCGTTAAAGGCTCATATTTGTATGTACATAAGTATGTGCCACCAAGCTTTAGGGAGGAAGTATTTTTTATGGCTATAAATGTACACACACCACTCTACAAATCTGTTTGTACATACATACATATACATGTCAATTTGTGTGTATGTAAGACTACTTAAGTCTGAAAGTGCATGACTTGGAAAATACATACATATGTACATACGTGTATGTACATGCACTAACGCTTAACGCCTTTAAGCAAATGCAACAAGAAGTTTTTGTCCAGACAAGCTGTGTATGCATGTATATGTATATGTTCGTCAGCAAGAGTCAAAATGTGTTTGTATGTATATATGCATGTATGTGTGTATGTATACGGATTAACATATTCTTTTTTTGTCCTCTTAATTTTTCCATTTGTTTGGGTATTACATAATTTGGTTAATGACAACGACAACAGCAACAACAACAGCAACAACAATATCAGTGGTAATAATAGTAAAAGTGCAATTAATGGTTGCAAATGTTTGGATGGCAAATGAAATGTGAAATGTACTTAGTTTCTTTAAAAATTTGCCAACTAAAGTTGGAAAGAAAATAACCAAAAAGAAATTTAAAAAATCTAAAAATAAAAAAAACAATTCAAAAAGCAAATAGCAAAATTAAAAAAAAAAAAAAACAAATAAAAAATTCAAAAAAAAAAAAAATACATTGAAATTAAATGAATGCACAATACATAGATATATATACATATGTATATGTATATGTATATTTGCATTATGGCTGCATATACATACAAACATATACCTTCATATAGGTTTATAAAAATATTAACAAATCATGGGCATGAATATTGAATTGAACTGCACACTTGTAATAAAAGCAACAACAACAACAACAGTAAAAACAACAGATGACTGCCTAAGCAGGTTGAGCATCCTCAACGGTTTACTGACCAACAACTTTTGGAAGCCGGTTTTATTAGTATTTACTTAGCTTCAATTTTTGTTATTAGTTGCCAAGCTCTTCTTCTTCTTCTTCCTCTTCTCCTTCTACTACATGAGCATGCAAACAAACGGAAGTCTATGTGCCCTAATGCTACTGCGGCTGCCGCTGCCGCTGCTGCTGCCTAAGATGGTATGTATGTGCAGCGCATCTTCACATCTGTTGTTGTCGCATGCCGCACGCAAGCCCCCGACCGATCGACGGCCAGACCGAACAAAACTTTTTCATGGTTTTCGCATATAAAGGCGCCCGTTGCAACGGTTAGAGCATCAGTTGTTGTTTAACTCTCTCGACTTCCATATCATTTAAACATAGAGACAACAACATGAAGGTGTGTAAAAATAGCAAATAGGATTAATTGGATTAACTACATGATGCAATTACGCATCCTCAAGATACGCCTTGTAACATGGATTTCTAACGTACGAAATTCTTCGATTTTCCTTACAGGTATTCGTGTGTCTATTGGCGGTATGCGCCATTGCTAATGCTGGCATAATTGGTGGCGGCGGCGGCGGTTGGTCTGGTGGTGGCGGTGGTGGTGGCTGGTCCGGTGGTGGTGGCGGTGGCGGCGGCGGTGGCAGCGTCAAGATTGTGAAGATAATCGATGCTGGTTCTGGCGGTCATGGTGGCGGTGGCGGCGGTGGTGGTGGTGGCGGCGGCGGCTGGTCTGGCGGCGGTGGTGGCGGCGGTGCTGATGTCAAGATCATCAAAGTTATCTCTCAAGGCGGCGGCGGCGGCGGTGGCGGCGGCGGCTGGTCCAGCGGTGGTGGTGGTGGTGGCTGGTCTAGCGGCGGCGGCGGTGGTGGCTGGTCTGGTGGTGGCGGTGGCGGTCATGGTGGCGGTGGCGCTATCAAGATAATCAAAGTCATCTCAGAAGGTGGTGGCGGTGGCGGTCATGGTGGCGGCGGTTGGTCCAGCGGCGGCGGTGGTGGTTGGTCCGGCGGTGGTGGCGGTTGGTAAGCCAAAACCAGCGTTAAGCGACACAATCGGAAGAAAAAGAAAAACAAAAACAATCGAAAGAAAAACCACCTTGTGATATGCATCAAGCCAATAGTGTTCAAATTTACATCGAATCGTTATTTCACAGCCAATTATGCAACACACAGCAGCACCGCCAGCCATAAACTGATAATCATCTAATGTGGAAAGCAGGAAAACAACATCAGCTATGTGCAATTCGCTGTGCTCCGCATGAGTTACCACTTCGGCATATTTCCCAAGGACATTCAGCTGCTATCTGCCACATCAGCGCAACTGTCCACTAATTTACTCTGATAATACTCATGTGTGACTAGTTGAAAAACCGACCTCTTACATCTATACTCCACATACCTACACACATACATCTAAACCCATGTAAATTTTGTACATAAAAACACAATTTTTTTTTATAAAAAACAATAAAATGTTACATAAATAGTTAAAAAATGTCTTAATCGCTTCTACAGAGAGACGAAGAGAAGAGCTAGGGGTACTTTTGCACAGTAAGAGCATTTTGCATAAGGTGCACATAAATAAAAGTTATACAACTGTTGGGTTGTAAGCAACAGTCATTTGGAGAATGCTTTAACCGTATATACCATGGTCAGCAAAGATTGACATCAATTGACCATTCATCCTCTTCTTCCATCTCCGACTCCGACTCCTCGCTGTGTCTTACTTCGCGGAGCGATGTCATTATTCAGCTCAACGTTTCATCGTCTGCGTTATTTTCTCTGACCCTCATGCAGAAGGCCATAGGCTGACGCAAAACCTTTCACTCAAAATCTCCTAAAGTGGCTCGTCGGTCATTGTTGATGTAGGACGTTAATGTTTAGCGAGTGGTAGCATTGTCGAGTGGTTAACATTGCGTCCTGCCTTGCAGTCTGTACTCGGCAGGGAATTTCAATGAAATAAAAAGCTTCACATGAAAAACCATCAGGCGCTCGGAGGCGGCTTGGAATAAACTGTAGGTCCCTGCAATTTTTTTTTTTTTGAAAATCATCAAGACGCATATCACAAATTGAAGGAAGAGCTAGGCCGCAAATCGCTTCAGCGATTACAAATGAAATAGGCTATACCTTTAAAGCTGTCGCTATCAACCCTGATGTGAGAGCCAAAGAGTTTCGTCTTGCACTCGTTCCCTACCAAACCCATTCGCTTCGCTGCCCCATTCAGCCTGTGGAAAGCAGAACTAACGATTTATTTTCAGGCTAGTTCTACAGCATGTGTGGACAATAACGCTTCACCTTGTCTGAAACCTCATTTTGTATTCTATAAGACAGTTGAGAGAGTTCTTTCCCGAACCTGACAGAGGTGTTAGTGCTGCTTAGTGTCACTCAGCATATCTTAGACATCGGTCGTCAAATCATATTCCTGAGTTATACTTCTGAAAGTCATCGAATTTTTTATAGAATTTTCGAGCATTCCTCCTACCGGTCTGCTTCTTAGGTTCTTCATACTGCTAGGTTTTTCTGTCCGTGTCTCACTTCCTTTTTCAACTTTCTAGGGGACTCAAAGCAATCCCTTGTGGGAAAGCGATAGTTTCGTTGGCAGCTGTACAAAACTTGAACCGCCGTCCCACATGAAAATGGTGCGGATTAATGTCCCGACCTCGGAGAGTATGCACATCAGAACACTATAAATGTGTCTTAAATCTGCCACAACATAGTAGATTTGGTTTATTTTTTTTTTCGGTCCGGTAACAGCCAAGTAACTTAAAGAATTATTTGTGCAAGAATCCAGTATTGGAGATCATTTATTTCTGGGTTCCGACCATTTTGCAGATGCTTCGTTATGAAGGTTGAAATTTCCGATTGTTGTAAAGTCGTCAGCGCTAATAAATACGTTCCAAACACACATAAGGACATCTTTGTCTACAATATCCTTCTCTGCTGTCGAAAGATGACGATTATGATTAAGCATACATTCGTCGGGATGAATGACAGGACTCGGCAAACTGTGTGTCTCTCTTTCCATTAATCCGCAACCTAATTTACGCTCTATTAAATTTTCACTGTAGTACATTTTACAAGTACTTACTCGCTGTCGTCCTTGCCCCGTCAAACGCATTTATTGGAAGTGATCTTATGTAGACATCAATCCACTGAACAGCGTAGCTCTTGAATTGCAATCCTTAAAATATTTGCAGGGGTCGTCAACAAATCGGGGGAAGGGCTCTCAACCGTGGCATTTTGTTAAATTTTTTAATTGAAGCAAATTGTTTGTGTGATGGGCCCCAAACCCTACGCACAACCTCAAGTGGTTCGTCTCTAACCTTGAGTTTACAATTCAGGTTTTTATAGGACTCTAATTTGCAAAGAACACACATACTAAAATATAAGTTTTCTTCTTTTCGTTGTTGGCCCAATTGGAAATACCAAGTACAGCCAGGTTCTTCTCTACCTGGTCTTTCCAACGGAGTGGAGGTTCTCTCTTCCGCTTCTTCTGCTTCCATCAGCGGGTACTGCAACGAAAACTTTCAAAGCTGGAGTATTCTTATCCATGCGGACCCTATGAGCTAGTCAGAGCAGCCCTTGTTTCTTGATTCGCTGAACTATGTAAATATCAGCATATAGCTCGTACAGCTCATGGTTCCTTCGTCTGCGGTATTCGGCGTTGCCAACTCATAGAGAACCATAAAACTTACGCAAGACCTTTCGTTCGAGAGAGGACTTTATTTTTCAATTGCCTACTCAGGTTAGAGCTCCAGTTGCACCAGAGCATCTATTGGCAAGAATGATTCCACCCTGACATTGTTGTTGCTGGCCACATTTATATGTATAGTATGTATGTATATCGGCGTTCGCGGTAGCCGAGTGGTTAGCATTGCATACTACCATTCAGAAAGCTCGGGTTCAAATCCTGGTGTCGTACTAACATCCAAAAAAGTTCTAGAAAATTAATTTAAATAAAAAATTAAAATAATTGACATAAAAAAACCATGAGCCGTTCGAAGGCGGCTTAGTATAAAATGTAGGTCCCTTCATGCGTTGGAAAAACATCAAGACGCAAAACCACAAATGGGAGCAGGAGCACGGCCGAAATCGCTTCAGCGGTTACAAGTGCCACTTATATATATAAATTTCAGCATGAAATCGAATCAATTGAATATTGATGTAAGTATGTACGTATGTAAGTGCACCATTCAATGAACACACATATTTACAAAAAATGTTATTTAACGGTTTCTTTTGTTTACTTTTCCCATTATGATACGTCAATAAAGAGGTGATATGACTTGTCATTTTAACGAACGTTATCTCAATTCTTCTTCTCATTGAAAATTCGCAACTTATGCAAAGCTAAATGAATTTGCAAGATAATTATTTTGTATACATACATACATATATACATACATACATACATTCATATATAGAAATGAAGATCGTCATTTTCAAAACAGTAATCCACTTCCTGAAGAAAAGCCTAAATTGCTTCCTCAAAAATATACCAGTAAATACTGTTATTGCTTGTCTTCGCTTTAAATTTATTTATTTTCTCATAAAATATATATAGCTCTTGCATAAAGAGAAAATTGAGGGAAAAAAGCGAAAAATGCTGCGCCCAAAAAGAGTTTTGCCATTCATCTGCACATCTGCGCAACGATTTGCTGCCAGTATTTTTATGTTAAACGGCAGCTGATTTACACTGTACGTGCGTTAAAACATATTTGCATTGGCGTTTTATTTTTTTTTTTTTTGGTACCATAAATTATTTTCAATATCCACTGTTAAGTTTTACTTGCAAACAAATAAAAATAAATCAACCGGCTTTGGCTGCAGATCTCCCCACGCGTCAATCAATGGTCGGCAATGTTTGGTGTCAAGCTACAACAAATGTTTACTCCCCATCACTGCTGCTAATTTAATTGAAAGTTGACACTGTGGGTGCAATATGTCAGGTGTGTTTGGGTGTTATTGTTGTTTTACATCTTTATGGCGCAACCCAATAAATCTATTACTTTATTACCCAATTTATTATCTTTGTTCGGTGAGAAATATTATATCAGTAAAAACGATAAAGAAGCGTTGCCATGCCGAATTATACATTTCATGACCTTATAAAATTGATTTTATATTTATTTGGTTGGCGGACCATGAGATAGAGGTCTCCGATTTCGATGATTTTCAGTAACAATATTTATTCGGTGGTGTGAACACTGCATATAACCGAATCAATAATAGCGCGCCATTCGTTCCTTCTCTTAGATGTTATCAAGTGAAACCAGGTGTCGTTCTCCACCTGATCCATCCAATGCTGTGGAGGTATTTCTTCGATATTTCTCTCACGAGCCTCTTCCAAGATTTGTTGTTTGGTGAATATCTGGCCAATGGTTGAATTACCAGGTCTAAAGTCACACTGACAACAAGTCCAATCATTTTGTTGATGGTGAGATATTCACACTATACTCTTGTTAGAACCTTATATGCGGTATTTAGGAGGCTGAATCCACCGTCAGACCATGCATATACCATGCATATACCTTGTTAGTCCTTCAGCGCCACGATTTAATAGTTCAGCTCGTAAGTCAACGGCTCCAATCGCTTTAGGGTTTATTTAAGCGTGCAATTGTCTCCAAACATCAAGTATGCTCTGAACATCGGTCACCAGATTTCCAAATTCGTCCCTACATGAATGTGTTTAAGTCTTAAAACCGTCGGTTAAAGAATATTCGAAAGTTAATCTTGTCGGCCAAAATCTCAAGCTCTTCATATTCACGCATTTCGACCACTTTCTTTTTTCGTCTGCAATTGCGTATTGCATCCTTCTTCACCTTCGGTACCTAACCCACCCCGCACGTGCTGTGGTCATTCGTAAAGCAGTCTGTTTTCCCTTCACTACAGTTCGATATTCCTATTCGTACCTGCTCTTTTTCTGGCACTGCGGAAAGCCAATAGTTTTACTGCGGCTTTAGATCGATTGTGCCCTATAGACTCATTGCTATTCTTCGTATAGCCACAGAGATCCAAAAAAAGGGATATGGGCTCTAAATCAATATGATTTCTCTTGGCTATGTTTTTCAATTTTCTAGCCTGAGAATTTAGTACACTACTACACACTGTAAGTATGTTGAAAGTCTTCAATGCGGACTTCTTTTGTAGGTAGATTATGCGATTCCTGAGAAAGTAAATATCTACATATAAAGACTTTTTAATGATCTTAAGATTCCAATTTAAATTCATTAATAAATAGAATACCCCTCAGAACCTCAAAATATGTCTTCCTCTGCGTTAAAAATATCGAACAAGCTAGTAAAGACACCAATTGGATTGAGTGTAACGCCAGTTTTGAAGTGGTTATCAGTGAAAATTGGTTTTCGATGTGTTTTCGGTTGACAGTTTTTGTATGACGAAAACAAAAGTTTTATCGTCACGCCGATCATTTGATTGGTATTCTGGAAGACCCATTTTTATCATATCAAATATAATATTAAACGTCTAAAATCATATATATAAATATAATTGGAGTTTCGTAACCGCTGAAGTGATTTTCGGCGAAGCTGTCTACTCCAATTTGAGGTTTTCCGTCTTGACAAATGGAGGGATCTACAGTTTATACTAAGCCGCCTCTGAAGGGCTGATGGTTTTTTTATGAAGAGCTTTACTTCATGTCAAAAATAAACTCGGTTGGGTTTACATTCCCTACTGGTCGGCGACCGCAATTAGAAAATTTAGTTCAATTTTTTATTTAAATTAATTTTCTATTACTTTTTGGATGTTGGTATGACACCAGGATTTGAACACGAGCCTTCCGAATAGCAGTACGCAATGCTAACCATTCGACTACCGCGGACGCCGAAGTATTCTCTATTAAGCTCAATTTACTTTTGCATGCGTTTGAATTAATTATCAAAACACTTTTACTACTCCGATAAAAGTATCTCCAAAACATGCCTCTTCAAGTGTTGAAAAACGTTGACCTCTCAGTTAATTTGTTTTGTATACGGAAATAAAAAGGACGTCATTCGGCGCCAAGTCATGACTATACGGCAGGTGACTCAACAAAACGATGTTTTGAGCGCTCAAAAAATTCAAAAATTCAGCTCTCATTTTCGTGGTGAAGAGTGAAATGTTTTCGACGGTTGGTTTTCTTGATTTCTTAAAAGTCAAAAGTCAACTGGCAAACCGTACCAGAAATTTAGAAAAAACAAAAAAAAAACGCTATTTGCTTGGTGATTTGTGCGCGAAAAACTTTTGTTGTTTTCTTCAAAAATCTATACAGTCCCCTGATGTTTGCTTTCAGAATCATACGCGTAAATCCACGTTTCATCACCTGTCACGATGTCATAGAGGTGTTTCGAAGCACCCACCACTAACGCATTTTTTAACCTTTCTCTCGATCAATTGACATGAACCTTTATTTTGACCAATTAACAAATTGTTTGGGATCCAACGTGAGAACATTTTTTTACAGTCAGATGTGCATGTAATATTCACTGTATGCTAATGAAATCAGTTGCCCTAATCTCACTATAGATCACTTTACCTATCTGGCAATATCAGACCTCGATTGAATTCGCCATACCATCGATAAACACTGGCATTTATCGTCAAAAACTGAAATAAATACATCTACTCATGTCGAAAGTTTTTTGGTTGAGATTAATATTTTAAGTTAATGTAAACAATATAAATGTCAAATTTTACGATAAAGTTGCCAATTGCCTTGTAATAGTTAAAATTAACCCTCGTATCCTTTATTAAGTCAATATATTCTGCTGGGATCGCTTGGATCTTTGAGACAACTTCTACGCGATGAAGACATAATAGCAAACTCGATTTATTTTTTAGACAGATACTTAGGTTACAAGTGCGAAAACCGTGCTCGCGAAAGTGCTAATTACAGTAAATTTAAAAGATACAGAGACTAAAAATAGAAAGTATGAAATATTTTTAATATTACCCATGGATGCCTATACAAATCCACTAGCCAAAACTCGGTACCAAAAAATTGTTTTCACTTGTTGTTGGGTGTTATCATGTCAATAAAACAGTTACAATACGTTTCATTTTTTTTGTTGTATTTTAAGTAATTTGTTAACGCATTCGCCTGCATACTCATAGATATGCTTATGTTTACGTACATATATATATATATATATATATCTACATTTAAATATTATATATTATTAATGGCATATGGATATGTTTATTATCTACATACATACATACATACACATATTCATAAATATGCATATGTACGTAAGAGTATACGTTTGAATTGCATTATGCCGCTGGATGTCTTCAGCTTAGCCTTGCGCAGCGGATTTGGGTAATTTATTTTTTACTTGAACTTATTTCAATTAATTGTGTCCTTGACTTTATTTTAGAGTACATTGCTGTACTTCATCTATTTCGTTACATATTTACTATCTTTTTTTAAATAAATTTCATTTTAATTTTTGCGCCAAGTACAATTGAATATTTTTATTTGTTGTTTTACAGTTTTTCTACGCATCTCTACTGTCGTGCGCATATTTATAAGTACTATATAGAGGGTTATCCATTTTGCGGTTTCGAAAATGAAATAAAATAAAATAAAATATTTTTTTTTCCTCTTTTATTATAAAGTTGGAACTTTGGCATTATAAAGGGTTTTTCAATAAAAGCGGTGTTATTTTGAATATTCCGCTGGGCGGGTGTCACTTTTGAAGCTGTAATTTTTTGACATTTGACAAGTAAAAAACTACGCCAGTAATAAGAATGGAACTATACACGAATCAACAACACATTGAAAATATTAAAATTTAGTATAAAATTTTCGTCGAAAAATCATCTTGACTAATGACGTTCATTTCCAAGCAAAAGTCTCGCATTTGGGGCTAGGAAAACAAAAAAATTTATTTTGTTTATGGACTGTGTTCTCTTTCGAAAAGGTGATTGGTCACCGAGATCTTTTAAATATACACCTTGCGACATCTTCCTTTGAGACCACGTGAAAGAAAAGGTCAAAGATATAATCCGTGAAAATTATGGGTTTTCAAGTGCGCAAGAGCTAAATATTTATTCGCGTAAACGCGGTCTTTCGGCCACACCCACTACAAAAACTCCAACGGCATTGAATCGTAAGATCTCGGGGGTCATTTCATATCACCAAGGGGAGAGATCTTAAAGCGAGATGTGGCATGGACACCACCTTCGCTTATTAATGCTCCGAATCGACAGTTGAAATCCCACCGTTGTCATTTTCAGAGCACCGAGGTCCAAAGTTTGCACTCCCAACATACCTGCGAACCAAAGAGCGCACCAGACAGTAAGTTTTTTCTTCGCGTTATGGTCTCCCTTCAATTTTTCGGGTATTCTCCGAGCCCCAAACGTGACAATTTTGCTTATTTATATATTCCCCGAATGGGAGCACGCTTGTTGTTCCAGTACCCAATCGACGTATGTTCGGGTTTCACTTGTTTTGTGGTTTGTACTTTATACTTACAGTAGCAATATTTGAGGTGGCCCCATCAAAATGATGATGCGCAGACTGCAAATAAAGAGAGATTTCCAAGCTATTTGAACTCCCGATCCGATGGAAGAAAAGGACGATGTTACCAAATATACTTTTTATGAATGAGTAGAGAGCATATTTGAGCGCTGACCCTGTCCAGAGGTTTAAATCGTGTTTGGCATTTCTATTGTCAGGGTAGAGAGATATCTTTGGCGCAGTCGAAACTTTACTAATTGGATTGAGATTGTGGTAGGCGAAAGATATGTCTCACGTGTTTCAAATATGCGTACGCTCCGAGGACTAGAACACTCTCTTGTCGGAGCCAAGATATACATCCGCTTCTGTGGAGTTGAGGGCGAACGCCAAAAACCCAGAAAGTGAAGGCGCCTCCCTGATCTTGTCCACTCACAAACATGCGCCGAGGAGGCTACTTCTACGCTGGATAGATCAAGTCATCCGAATGGATAAAAACAATGTAGATTTAAAATGGTATTAGATACAGTGAAAGCTGATGGAAGTAGGGTAGACAAAGACCTTCATCCTGTTGGATGACCTTGGTGTATCCAATTGACACCAAACAGAATAAAGAACAAATAGCTAGTATGCTATTGTTAACTCGACTATAACCGGGTTAGCGACCCTTGGCACTTTGTAACCCCTGAAGCGATTGAAGTTATTCTGAAAAACGGAGGGACCTACATATTATTCATTCATGAACGAAATGCACTGCCTTGGAGCAACCAATTTCCCATAATTTTTGATGTTGGTTGAACCAGGTCTCAAGCCCTGGAATTCAGAATAGGAATACACACTGGTAACCATTCGGTTTTTGCCGCCACCAAAAATTAGTAATTAATTAATTTTTTAATATTTGCTTGAAACAAGGTTTAATTTACCTAAACTTTAATGACTTGAATTTCACCATACTTCGAAAGAGGTGTACACGTAGCTTTAAGAATTAAGCTTGTTTAATGATTATATCGAATACTATTAATTCATCGTAGAAAAGTTATTCATGAAAAACGAAATACTCTAAATTTTTTATAAATTTTTTTTATGTTTTGTTATTTCTTCTGCCTTAATTTTAATTACAAAATATGCTATCCCAGGTTTCAACACTAAATTTTCTATCAAAGCAACCCTGGGTTGATGAAAATGGCGGCGCTTAGTTCAACTTCACCATACTTTGTACAACAAGCGTGCTCATTCTGACACCAATTGGAAAACTTGTAGTTAAAAAGAGAAAGTATGTTTTCTCTGCGAAGGCTATGCAAAGCATATGAAGTAATAACACTTACAAGAGCAACGAGAAAAATCAAGTGTCATATCAATAGGAAAAGCAAGCAGCACAGAAAAAATAAATTCAGCTCCAATTGTAATAATAATTTTTAGACAAATAATTTGCTAAAAGTATTAGAAATAATAGAAATTTGTAAGTGTGAGTAAAAGCTGAATATTTAAAGCGAAAAATTGTTGAAATTTTCGGGTTTAGCTCGAAAAACTAAAGCGAGGGCAAGCACGTTCCAGCAGAGCCGTATTGAAAAGTTTCGCTTATTGCCGACGACGAAGTTGCGAGTCGACGACGGCCCTCCCAAGAAAAAAGTAAAATCTGGCAAACAGGGAAATTTTGAAAGCCCAAGGGGTTGGTTTTCAATTAAAATTGCCAAGTTAACTTGGTGAAAATTTTGGTTGAAACTAACCAAAATAGCGGCAAATTGTAAACTTGCGGAAGATAGAAGAGTTGAAAATTCGTGGAAGTCGGGGGCAGCGGCACAACGAAGACGAAGACAAAAATTGGGCGAAAACTTTGCATTGATGGTAATGCATGCTAGAAAACCGCAACGTGTGAACGATGGGTAAATTTTATTATATTACAATTAATTGAATGCATATTTCGCATATATTCGTAGCAATAATTAAGGTAGAAAACTGTATAACTATGCACAACTAGTCATGTATATAGAAATTTCAAAATATTGCGGCTGTTGGATGATTGAAAACAGTTTTGGTGTTGGTGAGAATTTTTTTTTGCTGGCATTTTTCCGTTGTACGCCATTCTCCGGCCATTCGTTTAGCTTTGGTTTCATTGTGTGCTTTACATAAATTTTTTTTTTCCTTACACCTTGTTTGATTATCTGCTATTTGTCTGGTTAACCAATTCCGATTGTCTTATGTTCGTGCTTTCGTTCTTTTCCAATTTCTTTGGTGGAATATCAAAAGTAGTAGAGGAAAAAAATGTCTGAATATTAAAGTCGAATAAGAACTTTTCGAAGTTTTCACAAATATTTGCATCGGAAAATTGTGGAAAAAATATTACAAAGCATTGGGAATAGTTTTCAATTGGTTTATTTTGAAATTGAGTGAAATATTTGGAGTTACTGGCAAGAACAAGTGATGGATATTTGACTCGGAGAATTTCTAATTGTACATGGTTGACGAGTACATATTTATATATATATGTATCTGTTCTGTATCTTAGCTGCTGCTGCTGTTACTTCTAGTGCCACTGCACCTCTCCATTATTAACGCCGTTGACATTGCCAGCACTTAGCTTTAGCCTTTCCTACATATTCCCTCATATGCGGTAACTAAACTATTTTATACCGATTTTCATTTCATTCTATGATTTGTTTTTAGAAAAGTGTAGTGTAAAGTAGTTATATAGAATTGAATGTGTAATTTATATTAGAAATAGATGCGGCAATTTGTAAAAATATCATAGATTAAGTTTCTAGGTTAATTTACTTTATTTATTATTTATGTACATTATGTACTTCGGTGAAATACTCCAAAGGATTATATATAAGTACCTTTTTTTAAGTGTTCTCATAAGATCGCTTACTTAAATATAAACATGTTAAGCGAATATTGTTTTCAGTTTGAAGCATTTCCACTTCAAGGCCATCAATTAATATTTTATTCTCCTTTGTATTTTCTTTAATCACAAAGATTGATTCTTAATTTCACCATCTAGCATTTAGTCTTCTACCTTTTATACCGACTTTTAGATCCCATTTGGTGGCGTTTGAACTAAGCCATATAAAAACAAACGAGGGCAATAAATTGCAGGACTATATAATAAACTATATTTTCCAATTAGATGTCGGTTTATAGTCATTTACGTCTGACGATTAAAAAACAAACTTAATTTTATGCGTTTCAAGCTTTAATGATTTAATCTAAAATAGAAAGATGGTTCATTTAATAATGTTTCTTAATTAAAAATTTTTTGTTTGCTGTTAGTTGTAACGAAATTACCATTCTTCCCATTATAATATACTTACGTACAAGCAAATATTTAGTTAAATTAATTTTTATATTTAATTTGCAGCTACTTTGAGAAGCATCAGTCGCATTCTTATCAGGTGAGTTATTAAATTGAAAATAATCGTAAATAGTTTTTATTGAAATCATCATACGTGCATACGAACATCTCTCTTTATGTTGCCCCGAATACACTTCGAATATAATTATATCACTGTTATATTTAAAATACACTTCTATTTCATATCCAAGAGTACGATTTTAAAAGCAAATGTATTTTTGTTTTGCTTTATTCAAGATTTTTTATGTGCTTGATGTCAGATTTTCATACTATTCGCTTTGCCTTTTGCTGCATTTCCTAATCTACAGGATTAAAATATATGAATAGAAAATTTGCTTATACCCCGGTGTAATTTTCATGATTGGTAGTCTGTTTATTTCATTAACTTTAAAAATTAGTCTTATGATCTGTGAGTGTTATTTAGTTATTATTTTTATGCTATGAGCATCGTTAACATTGTCTTTTTTTAATTTTTTGTTTTTTAAATAGTACTTTCTTCATTTATATATAAAGTACGAAAAGTTGTACTAAAAACAAATTTTCTTTGTTTTTGCCACAAATTTGCTACGCTATGCGTTTATCTTAGCATATTTAACAACACAATTTTTTTTTTTTAATTTGTTTTAAGTAAAATTTGTGCACTGGGCAAGAAACAAATATGAATTATAAATTCTTAAATTTTAGTAACAGTAGTATCCAACTTTTTCTTTGCTAAATATATTAATAACCAAATATTTCCATACATAATTAAGAATTTGTTGTGTTTCGTTATACCATTGTATGTGCGCATATTTTCAACATTTTTTTTTCAATAATTTCTTTTCTAACTGCAAACATGTTGTGCAAACTGCATCGGTCTTCTCGTTAATCAATGTATGTACATCAACCAACCAGCAAATCATCTCAACATGATCCTTCGTTGTAGTCACTAACAAATACAAGCACTTTTTATTCACAAAAGAAGGATAACTAAATAATAAATGAAACATAAAATTGCAAAAAAAAAAGTATTATAAAGAAATAACTGAATGTTTTCGCGTCACAAACGCCTATGCCTAAAATCTATAATGCAAGCAATTGTAAGTCTGTATCAATCTACAAAATAACAAACCGACAAATAACCTCTCACATTGCGTGTTCCACAACAACTCAAGGCAACTCATTTCGCTTCGCGTTAGTCAAGTATTATGAAACATATACAAAATTAAAAGAAACGAAACAAATTAACCATACACCAGCATTATTTAAATACATCATGTTAACATCATTTTAAAGTGCAAAGTTGAGAATCGTAATTAGAGAAAAGAGTAAAATAGAAGTATTCAACGCGCATTTAAATTATCGCATCGCTTAGTAGTCTTAAAAAAAATATATAATAATAATAAAGAATTCGTTTGAAAATAGTGGGAAAGTGTGTATATAAAATAACACTTATCATCAAACCCAGTGTCAGAGCACTGCGAGACGCTTCGCTTCCAACGATTCCTGAAGCGTCGTACTATTGTTAATAGACACTCGCGAGATTCCACAGTTTATGACTACCACAAATAGTATCACAATAGATTTACCATTGGCACCCGGCTGTAACAAAAATGCTGCTGTCGGTCTGTGTCGCGTAGATGATGTAAGTAGTAGTAGTACATAGAAGTGCGTCGATCGTGGGCGTACGCTGCGCATGCGCTTGTCCACTTGAAAAACGTATGCACAGTAGCGTCACTTGGCACAACATACAACATACAGCAAATTGTAGATAACTTGAATACACGCTATTTTCACACATACAATTTTCATACTAAATAAACAATGAAGTTCGTTTGTACACTTGACGGCGCAATGTGACCGAGGATGTATATGTAGCTAGCTACCTAGATCGAGGAAGCATGAAAATAATAATTTCCTTAAAGTTGAAATCTACAAAATATGCTATATATGGAAAAGTTTCGTCCTCTGATCTGCCGTTAAGTGTGCTACGTGCTGGTACATACATACATATATACATACATTCATCATTATATTTTCTTTTGAAACAACCAACATAATGTGTTGTAATCGATATACAAAATTTAAAATTATCTACTTAAAAAACTTTTTAATTTTTTAATTTCTACATGCATTGGTCATACCGCAAATATGGCAACTAATTTACTTGGTGTTGTGTGTGTGTGTGTGTATTTGTGTTTAACCCCTCTACCATGTATTCATAATTTTAATAAGCACCACATTTAGTCTGTTTATTTCAATTTTGTTTATTTTATTTAATCATATTTTAATTATATTTCTACATTGCAGAGTTCCAAGTACAGTTCAAAGCGCGATTATGAACGCGATCGCTCATCAAATTATCGCGATCGCGATCTGTCGCCAGCTGGCGGTGGTCCATTGAATAATGGTAAGTGTTGTTGAATTAAATTTTTTACACAAAATATAATTAAATAATTAAATTTTTTATTTAATTTTTTTTTTTTTACTTTTTGTGTATTTTACAGTTTCGCAAAGATTTTCGTTAAATGCTATGAATAATGGAAACAGCGGATCGTATCGCTCACAATCACCTGAAATAGATTCACCATCGTCGAGAGGGCACGGTACGCACGATATACGCGATCGTGATCATCGTGGTAGTGATCGTTTCAGTTATATGCAAAAAATGAGGGATCGTGATCGCGATGTCTATAAAAAAGATAAATATTCAACAGGTGAGTTGTTCTTTGTCGAAAATACCCATTTACTAATGTTCTTTTCATGACATCGGTGGTAAGGTGCATACTGAAAGAAGTGTCCCAAGTGCACGCTATGACATTCATCTTATATCAGTTGGTTGAGAATTAATTCAAATAGAGCTTGTTTGCAATTTACCAACACACTTGGATGCGACTATATATATTGTCAACACTAAATTTTTTCCAATTGCGATCGACCATGGAAAGAGAAAATCAACATCTCTGAGTGTTTTTCTTACATGAAATAAAAGCTCCTAAAAAAAAAGATCCATTAGCAGTTCGGGGCCTGCTTAAATGTCTCCATTTGATGGAAAATATATTAAATCCGTGTCGTTACGGTATAAAGACCCGACTGTCGCGGGAACTGATTTTAGTCGCCTTACCACGGGTAAATTCTTGAGTCCCTAAGCCGCAGGGGTTTGGTTCAGATGATACTCTTATGTACTAGGGATAATTCTCAGAGAACTGCTGACTATTGTGCTCTGGAAAACCAAACTAAGTTTATCCTTAGAGTAGACTCTCCTCTATTTGATTTGATGTAAAATTTTCTTTTCTTTTATAAAATTCTCTAGAGGCGATGTAGGTTCTTATAAGTGGGGGTTTCCACAGACCAATGTAGAGTAGCGAACAACAGCTGATATAGGGTCTGCGTGTATTATAGAGAAGGAGAACCCACAAGACTACCTAAGTTCGAGTTAATGCAGCTGAGCTTAACTGAGATATTGAATAAAATTCTCAGCTGAGCAACCTATTATATATGTATATATGTATGTGTCTTATCATTCACATATGCATTATTTTCTTCCAGATAAACGGGATAGGCGTGGCGGTGGCAGCGGTGGTGGTGGTGGTGGTAACGATCGTGATTCAGAATCGCATCGCACCAATCATGATAGGTTGGATCGCCGTGGCGGTGGTGGCGGTGGAGGAAGCGGAGCTAAGCTTTGTTCTTCCAGTAGTGGTGATAAACGATCTGGTTCGACAGATCGTGACCGAGAACGCGATCGTGATCGTGGCGATTTGAGAGATAGTAAACGTGATCGTGGCTCTGAGCGTGATCGCGACAGAGAACGCGATCGCGATAGAGACCGTGATAGAGAACGCAGTGATCGCGGCGGAGGTGGTGGCGATCGTGAGCGTGATCGTGGTGGTGGCGGTGGTGGTGGAGGTGGAGGTGGTGGTGCCGGCGGAGGCAGCGGTGGCGGCGAACGTAGTGATCGTGGCGAACGCGTGGCACGATGTGGCGATTGGAGTGAACATGTCAGTTCATCTGGTGAGTGTTTTTTTTTTTTAAATTAAAATACTAATTTTTTATATTAATTAACTATGCTTCCATGTACTTTTTGTGTTGTAGGCAAAATGTATTATTACAACTGCAAAACTGAAATCTCACAATGGGAGAAACCAAAGGAATGGATTGAACGAGAACGGTATGATATTTCTTGTTTGTTTGCTTATAGACCAAAGAAAGCATTAATAAATAAATCTTTGTATGCTTTTAGAACTCTGGCACGTGATCAGCATAGGGAAAAAGATTACCGAGACAAAGATCGCGATAGGGATCGTGAAGATCGTTTTTGCAGATCAGGTGAGTGTCATAATGTTTTTGGTATTATTTTAAATTTTTTTTTTGAAAATTTTTTATAATTATTTTTATTTTTTTTTTTACTTTTTTTATAATTATTTTTATTATTTTTTTTTTACATTTTTTATTACTTTTTTTTTAAATCTTTTTTTGAAATCTTTTTTTAATTTTTTTTTAAATCTTTTTTTTTTTTAATTTTGCTTTAATTTCAGCTTACGCGAAACATTCCAGTTCTCGGGGCAACTCAAGGCTGAGGTGGAATTATGAAAATGATGGTGGACCGCCAAGTCACCGACGGCGCTTGGATGGTAAATTTCCTCCTCTGTATTTCATTTCATTCCTTTTCTCATTATACTTTGTGTTTTCTCCTCCAAAAAGGTCGAATCGCTGAAAATCCAGATATGGACATTAGTCCCGGTGACTCCACGCCAACATCGGAAGCTAGTTATCCGCTAGCCGGTGCGCCTTCAGTGCATGGTCTGGTGAATGTGCAACACAATGACCTATCAACAATACCAACATCAACCGTTGGTCTGCCGAATGCACTACCACGTTTAGCATCGCATCCTAACGCCAGTTCTGTTATGTCATCCTCCTCCTCCGCGTCCGCTTCTGCTGCAGCGGCTAATGCAGCAGCCGCATCAATGCATTTCTCTGCGTCATCAGCGTCTGCGCATGGCTCAGGTGTGGTAGTCGGTGGCGCAACAATGTTGCCCACCACAGGACTCGCCTCGGTGTCATCGGGTGCTGGCGTACCAGTGATGGTTGCTGGTGTTTTACAAACACAGAATAATAGCAATCATCGAAAGATGGACCCAGTGGCAATGTTGCAACAGCAAGCGCATTTAGCGTCAAGTACATCGCCAAATGTAAGTTGACATGATGGAAGTGCCAAGTGTATTTCAGTATTTTAATATAAACCTTTTTTTTCGATATTAAGGTGGATCATCATTTGAATTCGAATGCGCCCGGCCCGCCGAAGTTAGGCACAAAAGAACAACAAGAGATGATGATGAGTTCGCAGCAGAAGAACGCTATGTTAATGCGACAGCAGCAGCAACAAGCGGCGTTACATCATCATCATCAGATGTCGCAACACGGTGGTAACGAGGCGGTACACATGATGTCCAATACTGGCACTTCCATTGATGGCACCAATCATGCGCCCTCGTCAGCGGTGATAGTTTTAAGGTACATAATCATCAATTATCAATTGCTCAACATATTTTTCTTAATCTTTTTTTTCCTATAAAAAACAGAGATAATTCAGTGAACTCGCCACACTATAATTTAGCCCATGCACATGGCATGTCACCAATGGGCTATAACACAAAAAGTCCTATAACGGGTGTTGGTGGCAGCGGTGGTGTTGTTCCTGGAACCGGTCACAGCAACAATGTGGGCGGTGGAGGTGTAAATATGAGTGGTAGCGTAAATGCTGGATCATACGCCGCCTGTAATACACCGTACGGTTTAAAGACTGTCGAGGGTAGCAGTGGCAGTGTCATGAATTCAATTGGCAATAATAATAGTAGTGGTCACTGCTCCTCATCTAGTTTAGCGAATGTTAACGTTAATGCTGGCGGTAGTGGCGTAATTGGTATTCTGCCTGGTGAAGGTCCACCAACGCCAACGCAAGAGATGGACTTGAACGTAGTGGCAATGGAGCAGCAACAACGCAAAAGTAAGCATTTGAATTACTATTTTAGGAATAAATACGCCAGTTTTTAAATATTAATTAATGAAATGTCTGATTCTTAGTGGAAAATCCTTCATCCGCCTCGTTGAGCACACTGCAAAGCTGTGTTACGTCATCGGTGCAAGCCGGCCGTTCGCAGGGTCCTGAGATTTCACCGAAATTAGCAAAGTATTTTAGGGCTGATTTAATAACACATGTCACCAATTGGCAAGCTGATATTCTGGAGAAACAGGTAATGCAAGTGGGGTTGCAGTTCATATTTTGTTTTAATCCCAATACAAAATTTTTCTATTTTCTTTGTGTTGTGCTGTTTGTTTTTAGGCGCAAAAGTGTTCTGAGGAAACGCATTTGTATGGAGATTTACAGTGTACGAAAGTGTCGGCGGAGTTGAAATGTGCTAGAAGCTTAGTTAGAATAACTGAAATCACAGCAACACTACAAGAGCAAAAGTAAGTTTACGACATACATATGCATATATTGATAAACGAGATTCATAACCACTGAATGATGCCAAAAGTCGTTCGATGAAGATATGTAGGTGTCTAAAGAAACAGTTGTCCACCATATTTTCTCTTTTTTTAAATTCAATTGAAAATATTTTCTTTGAACACCTTGAGCCTTGAGCACACAAAAAATCATAAATTTACTAAACAGACTGCAAAAATAAGTGGTATGCAATACTCAACATGATCTCCATTCACTTTCACATCCTTTTCAGAAAGGTACGAAATAGAAAAAAGTCTTCGTTGACTGCACGATTGAAATTCCGTTATTGATAATTACAATCGGCAAGTTTCTCTTCACGAGTAAAATTTATGAATTTCATTGAGAATCTTAAAAAGCAGAAAGAATAGCTGTATTCGGCTAAGTCGAAGCCTTTTATGAACATAACAAATGTATTATATTTCATTTTAGAATGTAATATTGTCATATTTGAAAAATCGGGGGCCATATGACAGTCTACCGATCTGGTCGGTTCGGATTAATGTTTAATACAGTATAAAAATACATTTGCTTACCCAGTTTGGTTGAAATATCCCCGAAAATGAGGTACTAGTTTGCGTTCAAACAGAAGGACTTAGCTTTCCATTTTGATGAGTCTATTTTTTCCACTTTAGTAAGTGCTATTTGACACATCTGATTGGAAATTGGTAGGATTAACCATTTCAAACTATTATTTCGGGAATACTGCTACAATAACCACAACAACAACATTATTTTGGGAGTAGTAAATTCCATTGCCCACTTTTTGATGTCTCCCATTAGGGTAGCCCACATTAAAATGTTTTCGATTTTTTTTTTTTTTTTTGATTGGTTGCTGCCGAAAATTAACAATCGAATTCTATTCTTCGAACTACCATAATTTTTTTTTATTAGTTTTTCTTAAAATTTTTCTTTCTAAATTGCACATACAACTATTTTTTCCTCTCTTTCAGAATTATGTATCTTCGCCAACAAATTCGTCGAATAGAAGAATCAAAATCACAAAACTCATTTATGTCTGATGATCTTTAGCCAATATCAAATTTGTATTAAAGGAGGAATTATTACTACAGAAAAAAAAACAAACAAATTCACATAAAATCACATTCATAAAGGAAAATTCTCACACCAATGCGCCTACACACGCTCTTCATTCAGAATATAAACAAACAAACAAAAAAAAAAAGAAAAAATCTATACATGAAACATAAAAATAGCAATTGGCAACTCTACACTAATATTTACAACTACTAGTTATAAATTGCAACAATAATATGGAAAAGTTATGGTGAGTGTAGACTGGCAACCATTGTGCTTGTAAAGAAAGAAAGCAGCTGCCGCGGCAGGAAGTAAGCAATTGATGCTGATTTATGTGGGAATTAAGCAAACGTGCGGTTAACAAAAGAGTTGAAACAGCTTAGAATAAATAAAATATATAAAATAAAAGAAATACTTAAAAGTAAAGGCAACAACAAACAAGGATGAAACAAAAACAACACGATAACATGGAAAATATGAAAACAAAAAATATTACATAATTAAAGCAGATAAATGCAACAGGAAAAACAAACATCTACACAAAAGTAATGAATAATTATAGTAATATTATGACTAGTAATTATAACTATAAATTTAATGATAAATAAAAGAAAATAGATCTTAAACAAATTAGAATGCAAGCCAATTTAAATGAAGCGCCCCAAACAATACAATAATAAAAAAAATATATATGTATACATACCTATATAGAAGAGAGAAGGATCGAATTGTAATTCCAACATGCTAATTTGAATACTAGAAGTATAATTTCCGTTGCAGCAGCATTTGTTTCGAAAATTGTCTGAATTTCATTGTTTTCACCGCTGGGTTTTTCAAAAACATGTATTATTTCATTGAAAGTGCCCATTTGAAGATGGTATAAGTTTTAGTAGCAACACGTCAAATGGCCACCAACTCCGAAAGGAAAAAGAAAAAGAAAAAAAATTAACTTCAATTTCATCCAATTGCACCATTTACAATTAGAAAAGAAATGCCTTTAATACTTTATTTAATATACAGTTGTTTTCTTTTTTGTTTGTTTGCAGTTTACAGCCAAGCAGTTTCGAAACAAATTAATTTATTTATAACAAATAATTTCATGTTAAATACATATTAGTTTAATATACATAATTTTGTTGTATTAATGAATTATTTTTTGTAAACATATGCAATGCAATAATCCACACGACCCTCAATCAATCCCCTATATACATACAATAAATACTACACTACTATTCATACTATACATATATACAATATAACACACGAACACACACAGAGTTAACGTTTAACGTAGAGATGAAAAGAAAAAACCGCAAACAAATATTTTTTAATTTACTTTGCTATTTTAGTTATTTTACTTTATTAACATTTAATAAAACTTGTAGAATATACGTGATTGTGTAGATATATGTAAGCATATTCTATATTCATTATACTTATATTAATTGATATAACTACATTATACATATAATATAACAAAAAAAAAAAAAAAGAAACTGCAAAAATAATCAAAATTAAATGTATTTTAATTTTTTTGTGTTTTATTTTAATTTCTTACATGTTTAGTATACACTTTTATTATTTCTTTAACTATTGCCTACTCTTAATTTGTGTACAAAGAATATAAGATAGAGCATTTTTAATAACTTTCAAAGAGTATAGGCATTATTAATAAAGCAATGAATGGAATGTCTTAAGTATGAAAATGCTAAAGTATAAATGACCAAAAGCATACCTTCAGGTTCTTTTTTTACGTTGAGTGTGTAGACATTTCTTCGGAAATGTTAACTATTATTTTAGCATGAATTATCGGTTCAAATGTTCGAATTTTTACTCTAAAGTTAGTTAGTCTTTGTTTGAGGTTTTAGAAGAAAGGCCATACTTCTTGAGACTGTATGTACATATGCCTTGCTGATATCACTGCAATAAAAACATTCTCTGACTGCGTTCTTAAACAAAATACATTAACATCAGAAGCGTACGTTTGCTGTGTATTGCTCCTTCTGTATCTATGCTCTCCCGTAACAACTCGGCATTTTACGGCGATTGGTAAAGGTTTGAGTTGGTTTGTGTACGATTGCTTTTTGATAATTTAGAATAGTGCTATTAATCTCTTTGTTTGGTGGTAAGTTAAAAAAAAAAAAAAAAAAAAAATTAATAATTGAAACATTTTAGTAATTGTTTTAAATTTAATTCGGATCCTTGCTTGTACCAGAGAACTTAAAGTAACTCGTACAACGAATTTTACTTATTTTCTGTAGATAAAGCAGTTGCAGTAACTGTATTACCTACAATTTGGCTTGCAACTCTGCTACAACAAGCAAATCCCGCTATTTTGACAGTTCACCATTTTGTCTTCAGTTTGAAAGTTGAAAATAATTTAGTAGTTTCCTTTTCCGTTTCCAAAATACGTGATGAAATACACAAATACATATCCCTAAAGACAAACAATTGAAAAGAAATTTCAGTCATTAAGTTGAATTTCCTGTAGTACCAGCGGCGCGGGAGTATCGCTTGTGGTACATGCTTTTATGGTAGCATTCGAAGGTAAGTTATTAATTACTATATATTTTCAAGTGTAATTAAAAACAACTATGATTAACAATTCCATTGCTGCCGGTATGCGAATTAATTCATCTGCTGCGTCTTTCCAATGTTTCTAGAAGTGAAGGTTGAATTTAGATATTCAAGAATTGTTTATAAAGTGATTAAAACTACTGTAATATCAAGCACAACATTCAAAATGCTCGATCATATTCTTCTTCGCTAACTGAGTCAACGAAAAATTTAAACTGTTTCGAAATTTTGAAAAATGCACACATGTAAAAATCGTTGTTGATCGCAATAAAACAAAAAACAAAAAAATATTTAGAATACAATAATGACCGGTACAGAAATTATACGTGAGCTTAAGTGTAAGTTTACGTCTTGCCCATGTCAGAAGTGCACAAAAGAACGTAATGATAATGGCAAAGATGGTGTTAATCACGAATTGTACCAACGGGATACTCCACCAGAACGGCCACAGCCAAAATATCAATTTCAATGCAAATGCCTATGCAAACCTGAAACTCTCCACCGACGTAAATGTCCACCTGCGCTGCCACAGCCTCGACAGCCGATTGCGAAGACCAGCAGAGGGTGTTCTGAAATGGACGATTGCAATACAGGCAAGGGATGTTGTAATACGGAACGAAATTTTATATCTTTTATGATGAATATTATCGGTTTGATTGCGTGAGTGGCGATAAATTATATTGTCGTGAAGTTGCTTTTATGATATTTACCGTTAATCTTTTGCAGATTTTTACTACTAGCCACTATCGTGTTTTGGCTTTTCCTGCTTAAGTGCACAGTTCTTTTGGGCGTAAGAGTATATCATTCGAATAGGTATGCAAGTGTTGAAAGTACGAGTATGTGATTATCGCCTGAGATGTATCACACATTTTCTCTCTTAACTTTAGAACTACTCAAGTGGCAGTTGTGAGTGGGATTAGTTTATTATTTCTACTGATATTTTGCACTGCTGCAGCTACATATTTCCAGCGATATTTGGCTAGACGATCAGCTTGCAAATTTTCAGATCCCTCTAAATGCAAATCACAGGCGACATCTGCAGCAACACCTTACATCAAATCAAAGTCCGCATCAACTTCATCTTGGTTTTCCTTCAAATGGAGTAAATCTAAAGAGATTGTACCGAAACAGGTTAAAACACGTTATCCATGGACACTGACAAAAGAAACATCTGTTAGTAAGGCCCAAACGAGTTCATCTTGGATTCCTTTTATCAAATGGAGTCACACATCAACGAAAGTTGTCGAGTCGCCGAATCGAAAGTCTTGGTTACCTACCAGTATAGGGCGACAGACGACGACAACAACAACGAAAACTGATTATACACCTAAAAAGTCAGAGACACGCTCTTCTTGGTTACCTTCGTTTGGTTGGCGGCAGGCACCAACCACAACAATCACAAAAGAAGGATCTAATAAAAGAACTTCGTGGATACCTTCATTTATATGGCGTCATACGAGAACAACAACAACTCCAACTACAACTAAAGAAACAACTAAAGAAACAACTAAAGAAACAACTAAAGAAACAACTAAAAAATCTGAAACACGCCGATCTTCTTGGATACCTTCATTTATCTGGCGACAGACATCTACAACTATGAAGGAAGTTGACTATACTCCTAAGCCACACTCTTCATGGCTACCTTCCTATAGTTGGAGTCGCACTTCATCGAAAGAAACATCACAACCAGCGGAAGTGACGGTGTCGCGTAGCTCCTGGTTACCCTTGTTTGGCTGGGGACATTCACCACGTGAGGAGATCGAAACTACAACTACTCAAACTGTAGATCGTTCATTTTGGAGACCTCCTATTCATTTGCCTACATCGTTGAGCACGTATTTTAGAAGCATGACAACGAAAGAAGTTCAAATTCCAAAGAAAGAGTCGAAGCGGAGCTCCTCTTGGTTGCCTTTTACTTTGTGGAGTAAAACAACAACAACAACGGAAATTGCACCCTCACAACAGAAGCCAGCGGCTCGTTCATCCTGGTTACCGTCTTTTAATTGGCGTCAGACAACAACAACCACAACGACAACGACAAAAAATATGAAAAAACCACCTCAGAAGAAGTCCGAAACTTCCACTTCATCTTGGCTACCGTCTTTCATTTGGCGTTCTCCAGTCGAGAAAATTCAAAGTGCGCTAACAGCTTGTGGCATGAAGCAACAAAAAGTTACAGTTACCATAACCGATGATGAAGCTCGTCAAATATATAAAAAATCTAAATTGTATGCGATACCAACGGAAATGAAACAACCGCCAAATCTGGTTATCTATTTAAGAGATTGGATACAAAGAAATACCGACTAAAGTCCCACCATGTGTTCCGTGGAGCATAATTTTAGAGTCAAGTTCGAATGATTATCTGTGTTTATGTGTGTGCAACAAACGAAATTTTTAAGTAACCATTTGAAATTATTTCATTGTGAAAGATTGATTAAAAAGAAAGACTTGTTTTTCTAAAATTTTGGGTTTTAACTGACGAATTAAGAATCGAAGCAGCGCACGGGACTTTTCGACTGTCAGAAAAAAGGACGGCTTGTAACCGATGGCAGAGTTAGATGCCTTGTTGCCAGGGATTTGCTCTTGGTATAGGAAGTGCAGTGCTCATCATCCTTCTCGTCCTACATTTCCATATGCCTATGTTTGCATTCCAGTGGGATGTGGCCTTACATCATACTTACCGCTGTTCAGCAATCTCTGTGAGATAGCGTGCCCGAAAAGTGATTGCATCTTTCGCTGCCATTCAGCATGATCTTGGCTAAGCCGCTTACGTGCTGCATTCTGGGAAACAATTAATGAGCTTTCACGGTCTCAACTCGTTCAAAACATGTTGTTGGAAAAAAATCAAGACGTAAATCACAAATTGGAGGAGGAGTTCGACTAATAACCGCTACAGCGACAATGTTTAAGATTATTATGTCTCTGTCATGGAAGCCGTAGTTCCTATTGGCAATAAAATTGGGGCCATCGATTTTCCCAGGCTTGTCTTGACGTCGATTTTTACCCAGCCAAATAATACTCTATAGACAGGAGCAGGTAGTTAATCACTTGATGCGACGTCCAGACTATAAGCTAGTTGCATAAGAACCTTCCAACCAAGCTCTCAGACCTTATGTGGAGACGTCATCGATATGTGTAGTCGGCCGTTAATCTGATGAAACGGAATTCCCCGCCTATTGGCCTAAGCTGAGCACTTCTGACTTTCCCTTGTAACGCAAATGTTTAGTTCTGGTTTCGGTAGGAAAGTTAAGGCCGTAGCTTTCAGTTACGAGGAAACTACTTGCCTCGTTATCAGTTTTGTCTCATGGTGGACTTAGGAAAGATCAAAATCTCTACTCCTTCCATGGCGGCTCTTCTTTAGCATGGCAACAGGATAAGAACTCCAGATATTTCAAGAGGATCAGAAACCTCGCCTGACACTGACGACCAAACAAAAGCATGCTCAGCTCAATCAAAGGCATGTTCTCGAGATCGCTTAAAATAAATCTCTCATATTGGACAAGTAATTCAGATACAAATTGCTTTAGAGAGGGAGCTTTAATGGAGCTGCTCCGGCATATTTGGTTTAAGAGCTCGCTAGAATATGCTACGACTCAAGAAGCATAATGCTATACTGTGCAAGGGGTACTGGGTAGCTTCCGACGGTAGTCGTTTACTTGAGACTGCACTTCCACCCAAGCACATCAGCATAATAGGCAAAACCCGCTGGACAGAACGGCGTACCAACAGGTTTGAGACCCCATTCACCAAGAGTCCATTATTACCTTGAGCTTGAGTTTGAGCTGCCTTGGGATACCCGTATAATACTGGTACAATTAAGATCAGCATATTGTTTTCGACTATCAATCGTGAGCCTATTGAGTAACAGCGATGACCTCTAACCGCTCGGATATCGTAACGAAGGGAATGTCAAGTCACCGAGTGTGTTTCAGACATGAAATGAAAATCTTCACAGAAAACAATCATTAGTTGTTCAGAGGTGGCTTAGTATAAACTATAGGTCCCGCCGTTTGTTGAAAAAACATCAAGACGCAAAACATCTAACTGGAGGAGGAGCTCGGCTGAAAATCTCTTCAGTGGTTACAAAGCGCCAATTATATTGAATATATATATGTATATATCTATCTATACATATGTAGTCGATTTCATTCCTACTTATCCACGCTTGAGAGACCTCGCCCGACACTGACCACCTCTTTGCATGGCCAACTCATCTAACCCCACATTCGTTCGTTTCTCGTTAGATGAACTCAATGCCTCGGCTGAGCTCGCCAGTCGGGCTGGAAAGCCACTATAAGAACAACAACAACACCGAAGAAAGCAACAAATATATTGGCTTCTCTCATTAAATAAAAAAAAGTTACAAATTAATTTACTAAAGTCACGTACTTTTATCCATTAATCGTACGCAGTTTAATTACTATTCAATAAATACTCATAAATATTTACAAATTATATAAAAATATGCACAGTTAGTTGTAATCTAGTTTTACTTAGGATCTCGATGCTTTCCCACTGCCCTCCCTCTCGCTCCTTCTACCACCACCTCGCTCTCTCTCTCTCTCTCTCTCGCTCTCACTCTCTCAAATGTAATCAACCATAGCTGTAATTATTTCGAATGCGTCACGTGCTGTTGGCTCTATGGATGCGCTGGGCAAGAGATAGCCATGTACACCGTTATCAGCCAGTTGTATGGTGAAACTGAAGGGTATGCCAACCTCATAAGCGGCAAAGGCGTCAGAACAACCTGTTTGAAAAGAAGAAAGAAATGGAGCATGCGTAAATGTGGGCAAATAGGAAAATAGTAAAAGCGTAGTGAATTGATGAAGTAATGTAAAAAAAACGTTTCCTGTTGAAGACAAATAAAAAAATGTAGACACATACATACATATGTATGTATAAACCTACATACTACACAGCCGGCTTTTTTATATCGTAATATTTACCGGAGCGGTTTTCCACCAGATCACTGGTTGAATCAATTTTATAGCGTGATTTGCTGCCTTGCTTACGCAAGCCATCCGTTCCCACCATCGCCACATCGAGAAAGTCATCGATGCGTTCGGCATTGAATGAGCTGTTCGCTTTCATGGGATATGAAATAATCTGGCCGTAGGCTTGTAATGAAATGTAGATCTGCAAGAAAATACACGCATATATAAAAACACATAGCATTTGCCATGGTAACTCACCTTAATCTGCTTACGATAATCTATTAGGAATTCGGAAAGTGCTTTCGTTTCGGGTTCGGAAAACGGTCCTGGACCCGCGTATTGCTCATTGCATGGTGTTTTTGAGCTGCCACGTTTGCCCCACTGATAATGCCAATTACGATCCAAATCCACACCGTAACAGACACGTGTTGCCACCTTCTTCTGCTGCAGCCAAGTCATTGCCGAATCGATAATACCGTTACGGCGTGCAATGTGCCGAGAACGTGTCTTACGCCAAAAACGATCGTATTTATGACTATACACATAACCATCGGGATTGAGTATGGGCATAAAATACCAGGTGGTGTTCTTAATATACTCATTGTCGATGGTTGTCTCTGTGGAAAGAAGGCGAGGGAAATCGTTAAGCAATGATTCTGTTTAAAGCCTGCGGTCTGAGAGAAGTAAAACTGAGAAATGTTACATGTCGGAGATATGCCGGTATTTCTGTTAAAGTAAAAGTTTCGCAAACGGAACTCTTTTTTATCATTCCAATGACTCTCAAACCTAACGCACAGCTTCACTAAGCGAGGAGCTACAATTTTTAAACAAGAGACAAGTCTACACCCTAACACCAACACCAACAACAATATCGACATTGTAATACTATGCAAAAAGGTGCTACGTTAGACAGAGTTGGTAATTGAAAAGTAAATTCTGCTCTCGGCGAAGAAATACCAAAATCTGCAAGTTTTTCATCATTCCCGCTTTTTGAGGTCTTGAACAAACGTTGGTATGTTGCCGTCGACCTAGCCTTTCGCGTGGCACATAGCGCCGTCTTGCTGAGGGCAATTAATGTCCATACCATCCAATTCCTGCCATAAAAAATTATTAATTATCTCATGACATGAATTCGAAAAAGTAAGGTCCATTGACCCACACCGAACCAAAATCGGCACCAAACAGTTTAACGCTTAGGATGGTAAGGCTTTTCAATAATAAATCTTGGATTTTCCAAGCCGCCAATCCGATAGCCAGCGAGGTGGAAATAGGCCACAGCAGTCAAGATGATTTTCTGATGAAATTCCGGATCATTTTCAAGCATTTCAAGGACCGAGGACGTTGTTGATGATCGGATGGCTTGAGTTCTTGAGTTAACTCAACTTTATAAGTCTTAAGACCTAAGTCTTTATGCAAAATACTAAAGAGAGACGTGTTCGTGATGCTCGCCACGAAAATGGAAAACCGAAATTTTTTGACAGTCGTAAAATCGTTCATAAGAAATTTTTTCCACCGGGGCAAACCATAAATCAAGTCTGCTATCGCCATGTAAGATTGCGAAAACGAGTCAACAGGGTGCGCCCAAACATCGCTCGTGACTGGATCCTTCATCACGGCAACGCGCCGTGCCACACCGCCCTAAGCGTGTCCTAGTACTCGAAGTCTAAAGGTATCGCCGTGTTGCAACAACCGCCGTATTCGCCTGATATGTCACCCTGTGTCTTTTTTGTTCCCTATGAACCTATTTTGAGTCGATTGAGGACTTCCAGGCGTCTGTGACGAGGATACTCGCAGACATCTCAGTCGAAGCGTTCCAGAAATGCTACGAGGCATGTGAAACGCGCTGGAATCGTTGAATAGCTGCCCTAGTCCCCTTTGGAGGGGATGGCAGAGTTTCAGTCTCATTACTTAATTGTCACGCATCGTATGTCGTCCGATTTAATGAAAACACTCCAGCTCTGAAAGTATATGATGCACTAGTCACTAGTGGAAGTAGAGGTAAGGGAAGACCTTTACTTCGTAAGAAAGATCAAGTGGAATAAAATAAAGAAGAATAAGAAGCATTTACCAGGCAGACATAAGAAGGAAGGGGCAGAGGGAAATCGACAAATACTAGTAAACTCTATGGGAAAAGGAGCATCACCTAACGATGAATGTAATATCAAAGTGAAAATACATCATATTCAACGCCTCGGCTACAAAGCAGCATGACGGGGAAGAATTGCTAAGCTGGATGTATCAGCGTCTATGAGTATCAAAGTCATAAGCAACGGCCGCTGCTTTATTCAAGCTTATCAAGCCCAGCACATACCAGATTGTCGAATATGGGAAAAGATTCTAGAGAAAGTGGATTTATGTACCATGAAGATTTCAAAGTGGACCTCGACGGTACTGAATAGCGCTTGGTGCTCATAACTTTCAGTGACTTCAAATGTTGTCTTGTAGGCGAGCATAATCAAAGGTCCAACGTAAGACGTATCACTACATTGTAGTGGAGCAGTGTTTTGTGTGGGCAAACCAAACTCTTGCTGGCGCTAATCAAAAGAGAACTTGTGTATTGAAGTTCTATCCTCTACCGAGATATTGTCTCCTTAACCTAGTTAAGGTAGAATCGGAAAGCTGAAGCAATATTTGTGCGAGTGCTTGGCTTTCAGGCGATTGAGGCGTCCAATCAGCCAGAAGAGAAGTGTTATGTGGAAATGTAGATTGGGATAACTCACTAGACGCTGAGCTAGTTCTCGACGGAAGGAGTTTCTTTTACTTCCAATAGACGACGTTTAGCTTAGGTTCTACATTTGAGGAGAATTGCAGACATACTGTTTCATGTACATCTTTCTGCTTATTCCCGCACACTTGAAATTTCTGTAACTTAGATGAAAGCTTCTAGCTCTCTGTGATCACTTTGTTTTAACTTCAAATTCCTCTTGACATTCACGTAAAATGCAATAAACTCAAAATTACAAGTTATTTTCAACAGAAACTCAGCAATGTCTTATACGAAGAATCGACAAGAGCTTAAATGTAAATTTATGTCGTGTCCATGCCAGAAGTGTGTAAGTGAGCGTGCGGATCGTTTAGCAGCCGGCTTAAATCCAGCTTTATGTGATGTGCCGCCTGAAAGACCCGCATGCAAATACACACAAATGCAGGAGAACAAAGACTGCTGCAAACCACATTCGAGTACATGCACTATTGGACCGAGGTATAGGCGGAAATATCGAGGGCCGGCTAGACAGCAGCGTAAAGCAGATACCGACGAAGTCAAGAAGAACACCAGCGATGATTGCAACAGTGGCAAAGGTTGTTGCAACCTTTATGGCAACTTTACTGCGTTCATGATTCACGTGATCAGTTTCATGGCGTAAGATTGGCTCGGTTACTCAGTTGTATCTATCTACACACTTTACGATCTTTGTAGTTTCACGTTGGTAGCGCTTTTATCATTCGAACAGGTGAGCGCCGTTTATGGGTAAATGTGCGCTGTGATAATGATAATGCATTTCTATCTTTCTCGTTCTCTCTCTCTCTTTCCCTCTGTTGTTTAAGGAAAACGCAAATGTTGGTTGGGAGTATGATCGCTCTTTTACTTCTAGCCATCATTTGCACCTATTTAACGACCGATAGTGAAAGCACGGAGGAGAGTTCCCGAACCCACGTCGTGTGAAGGCTTCAATTGTGCCACTGCGATGATGAAGGAGTGTACTGACGACCAGGCCAGTGAAATATACAGGCAATCTAAGCGGCATGCAAAACCAATTAATAAGAAACAGCCGCCCTCGTAGTTGCTCTATTTACGGAGTCTCATTTGAGTGAAGGAAGATTAAATTTTCATTAAAAATAAAAACATATGTATATATAGTAATTAAAATGGCTGTAAAATTTAAATTTGAAAAGAAATGGTTTGAATTGTCAGACAGCGGAGGAGCTCAAATCGTTTTTACTTTCGAAACTCAACAATTTTCAATGGCTATGCCTCCTCAATATCGCATTTAAGATCTCTCCAACGTAATATGTGAAGGACCAAAGTTCAATGACACCGCAATACTTGGATCTTCTCGGAGCGGCTTCAATATATCATTCATCGGCCGCAGTAGCAGAGTCGTTTGGTCCAAAATCCAAAAATTATAGAAAATTCTTTCTTATATTGGAATTCGTCCATCGGCAAGAAATGTCAAGCTCTGCGAGGGTATTCCTGGCATGAAATAAAAAATTCCTTGGAAAAAAAAAACCATCAGTCGTTCGGAGGCAGATTAGTATAAACTCTAGGTCCCTCAATTTGTAGAGAAAACATCAATCGCAAGACCACAATTCGGAGGAGGAGCTCGGCCGAAAATGGCTCCAGCGGTTAAAAAGCGCCAAATATATGCATATATGTATTGCATATATATATGTATATAAATATATTGAACCAAATTTTGGAAATGATAAGTGAGAAAAGCATCGACTTCGTCGTTCATTTTAAGATTTTAAAGAAGCCTTACTTTCGGTTTGCTGACGCTGAGTAAAACTACTCTCCTTTGCCCGAATGAGGAGAGATCTCTTTGCGTAGTACGCCACTAAACGATGTTTCAGACAGGAGGATTCGCTATCACGTGACTTCCTCAACTTAAAGCTGCAGAAAGAAAAAGAATGTACAATCTGCTTTCAGCCTGCTGGATGAGGAAGCGAAAAGAATGGATCTGTTAGTCACAGGACTAAATTTTATCAGCCATCAAGCAAAGGGTTAGTCATAATTTCCAATTGAATTCCAGCGCAGAATCATGCTTGCCAACAGGTGCCACTGGCAGGGACTGGGTAGGCGATTGAAAACTAAAAGCAGCAAATATACTTTAGGTAGTTACCGGTTTCATGAAGACGGGGCTCAAATTATCAGATACTTCGCGAAACATGTCGCGGTATTCACAAGGAGCTTCTTTAATTTCTTTAGAAGACGGCTATATCAAATAGCTCTCCCATCTTTCACTACTTTCCATCCTCTACTTTCTCCAATACCAAAAAAAAACCAACACCGTAACACTATTACATTTAAATCATATTATCATATCGTTTTTACTTTACTCACTGTTACTTTTGATCAGTCGCAACAGTTCACTGATCATCCAAAGCGATGTAGCCGGTCCAATCCATTCCGCGCCGTGTGTGCCCGATTCAATAAAGACGGCATTCGCCTCTTTCGGTTGCTTTTTGCTCTTCAACTTTTTCTGTGCCACCAGCGTTTCCGTGGCGACGCTAGCCGCATGCTCTTTCGACTCGATCTTCACGATCACCAATGGCCGCCCCTCATACGAGCGACCGATATGTATGAGCTCGATTAATTGTGGGTGGCGCATGCGTAACATTTCCAAATGTGTTATAATATCATCATATTCATAGTATTTATGCCAAGTCATGGTGACTGGTTGTGTCGGTTTTTGTTGTTGTTGCTGCTGTTTATTATTTTTATGTGGTCGCATAGCGGCATTAAAGTGAAACTGCTCTTGTGCCCTCTCATAGGCGATCGCTTTACCCACATCGTAAATAAGCACTTCATGCGCGATCGATTCAAAGCTCAGGCTGGCCTCAAAATCGAGTAATTGTTTTGGCGGCACGAGCACATCGGTGAGACCGCTGTTTGGAGCCCACGGGTGAGATGCAGGTAGGGAGTAAAAGAATATTATTAAAATTAAAATAATAAGTAAATTTATTTACTGATGCACACTCACCGTAAACTGGGACCCTTGAGCCACTGCAGTTTTATGCCATCCTCACTCTTCTTGTACTCCTCCAATGCATGCACCTGCGCGTCATCCAACGGTTTAAGGCGCCAAATCTGATAGCGATCATAGGTGATCTTGCGTGGTACATCTGGATTGATGGCAGCCGCTTGAGCAATTGCATTCACAATGGGATTTTGTGTCACTGTCGCTGTGGTGGAATTTATTATGTGATGTGCCAAAATGCCAATCCAATTTTGTGGATTCTTAAGTGGATCGACAATTGTCAGAATGGGCACTTGCGCGGCGGGTGTACGCACTGTTGTTGTAGTTGTGGTAGTCTTGCGTCGTCGTTTCGGTTTCGAATCAAACCAACCGAAGAACCATTCTGAAAGTGTGGCGGAAATTAGAGTCAAGAGGGTGGGCGGGTGGCATACATACGCATATATATGTGTGTATGTATGTACATGTACATACTTACAGCTTTATTTATATAGCAAGAAAGCGTAACTGATTTAATGACAACAGTTATGTTAATTATATATGTACTTGTATATGTACTTAAACGTTGTGGTATGTGCAACAACATAAATGAATCATGAAAAGAGAAATGAAAGATTTTTTTCGGCTATTTTTTGGTTATTTTACTTTTGCTCAAATTCCATTTTGTTTTTGTTTAACTGCGTATTTTGGGCGGGTTGGCTGAACTATTTAATTGCCGTAAAAGTGAGTTGAGATTTGTTTTGCGACCTTTGGGTAGTAATTAGTAAAACAAATCTTGAGTTTCTTAAGATGAAAGTAATTTTTTTTTGAGATTTTCTTGTCATTGAAATTGTAAAAAGAGGAAGTTGGTGTTGACATCATTTATTTGCTCTACATCTTTGGGAAAAATAACAAGCTTACGAGGGTTACCTTACATCTTGCGCTGGAGAATATAGTACAAGCTGCAGAGCTGAATAGAGAAGGTATCATTTTCTATAAGAGGGTACAGCCGCTGGCGCATGCCGATAACACCGAGAGTTCGGTTTTCTTGAAGCTTGACAAGAAAGCGAAGCTAAGGGCTCTGCCAGTGATCGAGGTTAAACTGAAATATCTCCTATCATCAAACAAACAGTCATGGCATTCGCGTCTTGGCGTCCACGTTGCTGTTGTCAGTCATAACTTTGAAGTTGTAGATATAATTTCATCTACCGAGGAATCAGCATCAACACCAATAATAATGTGAGCTGTGAAACCCAACGCAGATTCACTCTTGTTAAAACAATGCTACTTTGGACTGAGCAGTTAACTGAATAGTGAAGTCCTCTCTAGGCGAAACAAAACCACACTCTATAAGTCGTTCATCATTCCGGCCTACTATATGATGCAAAAACGTGGACCAAGTCAACATCGCAACACGCGGCCCTGGGAGTCTTCGGGAGAGAAGTTTTGGTTCTTTGCGCATTGGCAATAGTGAATATCGCAAGCGATGAAACGATGAGCTGCACGAGCTATACGATGACATTGATATAGTTCAGCGACTGAAGTGACAGCGGGTACGTGTCGTCCGTATATATGAAAGCGCTCCAGTTTTCGAAGTATTCGATACAGTAGCCGTCAGCAGAGCAGGAAAGAGGAAGACCTCCACTCTGTTGGTGGAACCACGTGAAGAGCTGGCAGGTTTCACTGGCACCAAACAGCGAAGAGAGCAACCAAATGGCCCTCTAGAGATTAACTCAGCAACAGTGCATCGATGCACTTACTTCAAATTTTGACGATTAAGCTCCATCAAAGACCGATGTTTTTCGATAGTATGGTAATCGTGGCAATCGTGGTCATACATACTCCGTGAAATTGTCCAAAATCAGTTATTATTCCGGAAACTATTCATTATGCGACTTAAAGAGAGATTGCGACAACTACAGGCGTTAGTAGCCCCAGCATACATTTGATTGAAAAAAAATTTATTATCACTGCACCCCACACAATATGTCAATCGCTCAAAGAAAGCCTCGAGTCAATTGGTTGAGAGAAATTTTAGGTTAGCGGTACTTTGAGCTCGAATGTAAAAAACAGTCGACTGTATGTGTGTTTAAAATCCAAAAAAAAAGATATTAACACCCGAAGCACTTCCAAAGATATGGCTTTTTTTTGGGTACGCTAGACAATTTCCAACAGTATCACTACAGAGCAGTATATTCGGAGTGCTACTCAACCATTTGTTTGCCAGTTGTTTTTCAAGAAATCAGGAAAACCAATCGTCGATGACGGACTACTCTTGACCACGACAAAGCCAGATTCCACATATATCTACCGTTTGGTCGTGACTTGGCACCGAGTGGCTTCTTTTTAGTACAGTACGTAAAAACGTCTACTTCTCTCAGGTATCTGCTGTGAACTGGGTTTGCTTTGAATTTGGCTCTCCTAGACTGCTGGTTAAAGCTTTGGACAGGATTTTACATACAAATCTCGGTAAAAAGACTTATAAAGTACATTTGGTTCAAGAACTGAAGCCTTATGGTCCCATCCGGGGCGATTTTGCCACAGATTCCCTAGGCAACCGACTAAGCGTGGCAAAAATTAGAGATGGCGAACCAGATCAGAAATGGCCGTACTTAAGTCATAGTGCTCTCCTGCTGCCCCCAGCACCGTAAGGCTGCAGCTTGGAGCATCGTGAAAGATGTGACGCCTAACTCAGCTAAAGGCCAGACTTTAAACAACATTTGTAGATACTGAAAGTTTTGAGTTGACAGCTTCGCTCTCGCCAAGAATCTAAGTTATGATGATGGTGTTTTGCCAAGATTTTTGGATTGGTCAACGATATATTAAATAAGTTCGAAATTAGTGGTACACTTGTGGCCAGATATCTGTTTTACCTCAAGCATAAATAACAGGTTGAGCGGCAAGTGATTCTTACCTCGATCAAAGTCCTGTAGAAATGCCATTTCAAAGAAATGGGGACTCTTTCCGAAAACAATACACGAGATCTCTCATAGTTGAACTTATGTGGCTTTATAGAATTCTTGTTGGGAGAAACGAGTTTCATTACTTAAGCAGCTTAAGTCATTTACCCTACGGCTCTTGTTAGCGTCCATGGAAAATTATAGGCCATGCAAACTCTGAGATGCACCATTTGGCTTCTTCTTCACCTTGATTCCTTCTCTGATGAACTAATGGGTCCAGAACTACTGAAGTACTTCTAATTTTATTCACAAATAAGTCGAAGCTGGTAGAAATTCCAATAGGGAAGTCTTCTGTAAAGAAGGATTAGAGCTGTCACTAGGATGGGCCTCATACTAAAGAAGCTAGTTGGCTTATTTTATTGTTCTGGGTTCCCTCACAGTGAGCTTGGAAGAATAATGAGTAAAATAATACTTACTAATCATTGTCCATGAAGCTCCCTTACTTCAAGATATTATAAAAAATTATATAGGTACCGGATAACATCAGACACGCTATAAATTCAAGTCGCGGAAGGTCAATGAAGTTCCTTAACATTTTAACGGAGGTTCAAATTTGGCATCGTCCGATTGGCATATGCCGAAGTGCCTGGGCGAGGCGATGAAATCATCGATGCATTTACTTCTGAGTCGCTCTCTAGCTTGCGGGGCTGGGACAGAAAATAATCGGACAGCAGAGATTCGTGACATAATCGTCCTCCTCTAATTTGTGTTGTGTGTCCTAATGTTTGTGCAACAAATGTTGGGCCTTACAAGCCTCCTCCGAACGATTGATGGTTTTTCATGAGTAGTTTTTTGTATTATGCTATATTTACACTCAGAGCGCTTGACATTACCTGCCAAGGGCGACCGCATTTAAAAAGTAAAACTAAAATTAATTTGCTATAGTTCTGGATCTTGCTTTAGCTAGGGTTCGAACACATAATCCTCCGCATGATAGTATGTACTGCTCAACTGGTGCGGCCGCCATCCGGCCCTAACCCACGTTTTATATGAATAATTATAAAAACACAACCAACCCTGTATTAGATCTCGCTCGGGGGTAGAGGAGTACTTCGTAACACAAAATTTTACCAAGAACGAGAAACTTAGAAACGCGGTTAGGAAAGACTAGTAACTAATCCGTCTGGATCTTCTCTGTTTGGTTTGGTTACTGTCCAAATTCGTATTAGTCAGACCTCATGAGAGGACCTGCGGTGGTTTGACCTGCCGCTGACAAAACTTACTGCAGAGTTTTCAATTTTGCCAATCATCGCTTAGCCACTCTACAGGAAACGGAAGCTCACAGACTTCCTACTGCACTTGTCGAGTGAGTTTTTGTGAAGCAAAGAAGTAGTTCAAAGAAAAAATAACAAACAAACAAGCAAATGAGCAAACAAATTTTTTTTTTCATTTTTTTTTATGTTTATAATGGAGCAACTCGGCTGCCCGCTGTGCAATTAAACACTTAAAAAGTGTGATAATTTCTCATGCCAACTGAAGATAAAAGAGCTGGCGGAATGGGCCCGTCACTGTTTGACTAATAATACATTTACAGACACGTCACACGAATATTTATATAAAATTTAATATCCACTTACTATCATCATTATTACTTGTCTCCTCGCTTGATGGCTGCATGTTACCGAAATTAAACCAAGACTCAAACCAACTCGGCGGCGCCGTGGGTGGTGGTGGCGGCGGCGGCGGCGGCGGCACTGGTGTTGTGCTGCCAATATTCTTGGTACGTCTATTAAAACCAAACCATGAGCTCAACCAACTTGTCAGCGAACTTGCCTGCTCCTCCTCTTCATATTCATCACTCTCCAGCGGTTGTATGCCATTGTTGTATGTGGTGTATGTGGGATATGAGTATTGCTCCTCTTCCGAATCTTTATTACCAAAATTATCAGCGACACCGTTCATAAATGCTTGCACCGGATAGAAGATCATACGGAAAAATCCACCAATACCGTTGCCAGCACCAACGCCATCATCATCGTACTCGTAATCTTCGTAGGATGTTGAGCTATCGCTGGACGATGGTCGTCTACGTATGCGTTTCTTCGTGGCTGCTTTTGTGTTGGTTTTTGGTTTCTTCGTTGTCGTTGTTGTTGTTGTTGTTGTGGTGGTGGTGGTTGTAGAGGTGGGTGGATTGATTAAAACAGTTTCTTCAGATGCGAGCGCACCAAAGTCAGCACTTGGCTCGGCCGAACTACCATCGTCAATTATTATAGAGTCTCTATCTACAAGCGTTGTATCTTCATTTGTATCTGTAGTTTCTTCCGTAGATTCCTCAGTCTCCTCCTCATCCTGGCTTTTGGAATGTTTTGATTCTTTATGATTTTTATTATTTCTACGCTTTACTGGTCTTTTAGTTGGTGTGTAATCGTAGTAGATGTCTTCATCATCGTCTTCTTCTTCGTCCTCATCCTCGTTTTCATCATCATCATCGTCTTCATCATCATCTTTCCCAAGCGTGGTTTCTTCGTCGTCCTCCTCATCGTCATCTTCATCGATGCCAAAGTCAAAGAGATCGAACTCACCTCTCTTTTCAAACTTATCCTTCTTCTTTTTTCTCCTTTTGTGTTTGATTTTCTTTCCCTCGGTGTTGTTGCGCTTAGTGCCCAATGGTAATGTTGGTAAACTTGTCATCCTGCCATTATTGCTGAGTGTTTGATTTGCTTTAGCAGCTTTCTTGACTGTTTGTTTATTGCTTACGTTTGTTGAGTTTGATCTTGGCTCGGCTTGTTTTCGGGCGACCGACCAATTAGTGCGATTGTAAGCACTATTGCTTAAGCTGTGTACCGTAGTGGAATTGCCAAGCTTCGGTTGGCGTTTTCTAACTCTGGGTCGTCTTTTTATGACCTTATGCTTAGCATTATTTTTAGCCAGAATACTGTTCGCCACAGCAGCCTGGGTTAAACTGACTTGGCTTATGTGCTGCTGTTCGTGCAAAGTCGCATTGTGCGCTTCATTCAAGTAGGCGCGTATATTTGTGACGGAGCGCTTACGCAAATGATGTTGCTCCAGCGACGAGTCGGTTTTACTGAATACACCGTTTGTATAGTTCGGCTTCTCCAATTGCGTGGCGACTGCCGGTTTTTCCGTGCTTGTCTGCGGCTTAGGTGTCGACGCCCGTACGCCTTTGATAATCGGTGGCAATTCACCACGTGTGACCAACGATAGATTGGGCTTAGGTCTGCCCGGTCTGTTGGGTTTCTTCTTATTCTTACGTTTAACTTTAGTTTTAACCTTCCGCGTTGGTAAGCGCACTTGATCACTGATCGTCAACTCGGTTTGCACAATGACCGGTGGTGGTTTGATGAGCTGGGGTAAGGGTAACTTGTCGGTGGGCAATTTTTTTATACCCATTGATGGTGGTCTCTGAAGACGTATTATTTGTGGACGCATTGTGCTATTCTTAGCCACCGATAAAACCGTATTAGCAGTTGTGTCTACACGATCGCTGGAAACTTGTGCCGCCGTAGTGCTAGCATGACAATTTTGCTCGTAGTATTTACGTTGTAGATACAAATCACGTTCGTATTGCTCTTTCGAAATGTAAATCGGTATACTGTCATTGGTGGTGGGGGTTGGCGTGGTGGCGCTATCGGGCATGCGTCCCACCTCGGTGATCGCATAAATAATACCCGTTGTAGGATTTGTAAAGAATAAGGGAAATTTCTCTTTTGTGTTGTTCGTAGTGAGTTTGCCGATACTCTGACTGTGGGTCTGACTGCTTCCATGCTTCTGCGATTCGGTGGAAGTTGCAATCTCAATGATATTGCTTACAGTTTGCTTAATTGGTGGCATACGCGTATCACTCGCGACCACTTGCAACTGCGTATGCTCTGAGGAGGTTGTAGGTAAATGTGGGTAATCTTGAAAAGTGGGCAAATCGATTGCGTTTAGCTCACCCACCTGTCCACTTTCACCCGCATCGAACAGTTTGAAATCGAAACTCGAACCCACCGTATTGCCGTTGAGCGCATGCGTCGCCGCAACTACACTAGGCGATGCATAATGTTGGCTCAGCGGCCGACCAACACGTTGCACATGTCCTGGCCACGCGCCAGTGGTGGTGGTGGTAGTCTGTTTTGTCGCGATATTCAAAAGTTCTTTGTTGTTATTATATTTAGGCACAAATGAACCGCCCGCTACGCGATAAGGCGGTTTCGCGGTCCACGCATGTCGATGCGCGTTGGCGAGTAGATCACGCGTCCACGTACGTTTCGTTTCGCGTACAAAATTATCGAATTCCTCGGCACTCGGATGATAACCGAAATCGTAGGCGTGTAGGCCGGCTGTGCTGGCCAGGAGCAGTTTGAGCAGGAGCAATTTTGTGACCACAAAAAAACAGCGCATTTTGTTTTTGATTAATTATTATTATTGTTATTTTTTTTTTGATTAGTTGAATATTAATTATTTTTGTTGCTTTAATTTTTTGGTTTATTCATTAGTGGCTAGCCTTCACTGCTTTCACTCTTGCCTTTAGCGCAATGTGTGTGCGTCAAGGATAATCACTTGAGCCTCAAGCGCGCTCCCAGCATTATTACTTCGGACGTGGTTTTCACTAGTCAAATAATTTGTATATATTTTCAGCTTAAACTGTTTTTAATTTATTAAAAAAAAAATTCTTATATTTTCAACTCGACCACCTTTCGCTTCACCTTTCCGTATGCGAATAACGCTAACGCACAGTGTTAAAGTGAAATTCAGCGTGGTGGCGGTTTTTTGTTACTGACACACACACACACAACTACATATTATACACACATACATACATAGGCACATACATATATTTAAATGTCAAATACGCTACACTCACTGTCATATGTGGCCAAAAGCATATATGTCTATACATACATACATACATATATTTAAACGGGTGAACGGCATAGTGCTCAACACACATACGCGCACACATTCGTAGTCACTCAGAGAGTCGGCGTAAATGCTTCAACAATTTTGCTTAGAAGTTTAATGAAAATTGGCGGCTCTTGGCAGACGCCAATTTGACTTTTTCATGTCTCACTGTGTCACTGGAGCAGAGTCACCGATGTCTGGTTGTCGTCGATATTAAGCGAAGCATTACAAATTGTTGATCTAATCATAGTGTTGGGATAGCATGGCGCTTTTGTGTTATTTTCGAAGTTCTATATATTAACTATGTACATATTGTACATATATACTTCACTGGGTGAGTATTCCACTTAAAAGTGATATTTTCTTATACCCAAGACAGAAATTACTAAGTGGGTTGGAGTTGAGTTGAGAGTTAAGTTGATGTGGCTGCTGTTGCCACCAGCACACATAGGCCAATAGGCCCATTGTGATGCCGCTCCTGCCCTTACCTTCCCAAATGATCGAGCCATTTCGTGAGACCAACTCAGCGAAACAGTGGAAGAAGTGTTTCCCAAGGAACTTGTGTCGCGCAGATGTCAAGGCTGGACAGTGGCAGATGTAGTGCTCCTTAGTCTTTTCCTCATCTTAGTCTCTACAGCTGCAGCAGAAATCGTTAGAGTAATATCCCATTAATTTCCCGTGAAGCCCCATCAAGTTATTATGCCAGTCATCATGCTAATGGAGAACCGATCAAGAAGGATAAGAAGTTTTGATTTTATCGCATCCAACTTCGGCCATAGCTGTCTGGTCGAGTTGCACGTGATCTCGTTCAACCATCCTGAGTCAGCTTCATTTCAAAGTTCTGGATGAACATAATGAAAATGGCCTAAAGTGGCCAGATGATGGTAAAGGGATGGTAAAGTTAAGCTCGTTGAGTGGAAATGGACCATTGGTAACACCTCTTATCAGTTGAGTTAAAATAAAACTCCAAGCGGCTTTCTACGACTATGGAGTGTAGGCAAATAAATAAAACGTAAACCTGCATGAAGGCAGGTACTTAATCAGATCCAAGTTTAATTGCTTTTGTACAGATTCCAATTTATCACTATACAATTTACACCATCAGTTTTCTTCAAACAACTGAGCCACATTCCAAAATGGTCTTAACAAGTGAAGTAAAGAGTAATTTGGTAAAGTAAGAAGAGAACTCCTTGGCCCAACGTGTAATGAAAGCTAAAACGCCCTTTCCCTTAAATCTACTTTAGAGTTATTGTTGTTGTATTGCAGTCGGATAAATATTCCACAAAGTATTCCCGCGAACTTTTGGATTTTAGTCGCCTCTTACGTCAGGCATACCTTACCGCGGAAAAGTCTTAAACCCCTACCCCGTAGGTGCTCTAGCTTGAAATCTAAATCGATGAGGTCAGTAGCTTTTTGGACATTGTGATTATGTAGACAAAGGAGAGTAAGCCCAACGGTTGCCCTACTCCCGCCCAACCGACACAAGTGGCGCCGTCTGAATGACGTTTGTTAAGCGTCTAGATTTAAAATTGCTCAGCTACAGACAAACAAATTCATCAGCTGAAACATACGATTGATTCTGCTTTTAACGAAATTTAGGGAGTTACGTATTAAGAGAGGTTAGTATAGTATTTTTTTTGCGCTTTACAACCGTTTAAGCGATTTTCGGCCGAGCTTCGACTTCGATTTGTGGTTTGCGTTTTGATGTTATTCCAATAAATGGAAGGACCTACGGTTTATACTAAGCCGTGGCCGATATTTCTTATGAGGAGCTTTTGATTTTCATGCCAGAAATACACTCAGAGGGGTTTGTCGCACCAGGATTTGAACCCAGGACTCCCGAATGGTAGTGTGAAAAACCACTCGTCTATCGGGGCCGCCAAAATTTACATCATAATCAATTGATTAGAAAGATTTTGTGGAGAAACACATATATTTATTTGTCCTTATTTTAATTTAAGGACACACAGTTTTCATTACACCATCATCAAGTTAATTAAATATTTAGGTCAAGTCACATTCAAAAAATCATTGATTAAATAAGAAAGAGTAAGGGGCCGAGGTGTTTTGGAAACATTCACCGAATATATGACGACCATCAAGTTCGTCTTCAATTCTTGCACAAGTTGGATTTTGGAAGCCCATAATCAAGATCCCAGCGCAAAAACTTTTATTAAGTAGACGGGCAGAGCTGGTCTCATTCGAATCTGGTTTAATTCTCGGCACCAGCCCGGTAACGGCGTCTTCGGTGCACACTGTGCGATGTCTCTCTGAATAAACATGGTGCGGAACTGGTTCATGGCTACGCGAATTACCAACTTTGCTGGGCTATTATGACGACCGAATATTGGATATAGGGCACGTAGGCGTCGCCCGTATCATACCATTGTTTTGGTGATAAATTTGCACGATTTGCAAAATTAAGTCTTTGTTCGTTATGAAATCAAGTGAAAGCTTTCAAAAAAACCAGCATTGCCTCAATGAAAGCTTTTCGTCTAGGGAATAACCTTTAAAAATATTTACACTAAAGTGAACTGCATTTTCTTCATTCACATAATTTATTTTGTATTCATGAGTGACTCTAATGAATCTCATTATATCCATGATTTTGACCGTGGCTAACTTCGTTAGAAAACTCAGCAGTAAAGTCCCAAAATGTCGAAGTCAAGCACTGCCCAAAGTAGCACAGTAGCATAAGATGGTGATTTATAGGTTAGGACCGTAAAGTTTACCGGGGTTAGATTATCGACTCCGCAGATCCCTGGATGTCTCTATGAGAAGTCAAAGTTTCCGAAAAAAATTCAAAAATCGCCGGGTTGCAAGTTTAATAAGTGGCAAGATCAAACAATTCTAAGCAAACACGTTTAGTATCAGAAAGTGAAACTGCCTTATAGAGTTTTTGTGCCATGGATTGTTGTGTTTTTTTCTTCTTTTTTTTTGAAAATGGATGTTTCGATGTCACAATAAAATCGGATGTAAGGCAAATTTATAGAAGATGAAGTTGTTCTTCCTCCCATTTCAACAAATTACACAAACAAAATACATGAAAAATAGATTTTGACATTTCGAACCTTCGTTTACACAAACAAAATACATTGAACGATTTTCGTTTTTGACTTTTCGAAACTATAATTACACAAACAAAATGCCTAGGCTTTTTGTTTTTGTATTCTTGCTACTACCGCATGTGAATTTGCCTTAACCTGATGTGTGCATATCAATTTTCCATTGACATATTATTGTTTGTTTTCCTTACTGATTTCAAAATTTGTTATAAATAAATTTTCAAGTGAAAAAAAATTTCAATTTTTTTTAGTGCAAGGGACATATGTATATAGAATAGCTTTTGCATATACCGATTTTTTATATACGAGTATGTGTGTTGTTGAGCACATGCATTTATGTATGTGTGTATGTATGTATATTTGTTTCTATGTATTTTCACCTTTTTGACTTTTCACATTTATTTATTTCTATAACCCAAAAAAGTATTTGCACCACAACAACACTACGTTATTCACTTGTAACACAATCCCATTTTCATTTGATATTAGCAACATTGTGTGGAAGCAACGTTGCAACTTCCCATTGAATGATCACAAATTCCATATACATATATGTAGGTATGTAGGTAACTATTCAAAACAACATAAATTTAATCTTCTGGCTTTTATCAGCGTTTTCACGTATTAATCCTTTTAAACACTAAAATTAAATTGCGAAACGACAGCAGTCATTTACATATACATATAAATACGTCTCACTGAGCACAAGTGTGTGGTTTCTAATTTTTTTATACTTTTCGAAGTCTTTAAAGTTATAAAAATATATATTTTTTTTTAATTTTTATTTTTTATTTATTTTTTTTATACAATTTTCAATTCCTTTCGACAGCGTAACGCATGCGCAGACTTCTGACGAGCAAGTGTCCGTTGGCAAACTTTTGCATCCAACACCGACTAATGGCACAAGGCTGACGGCTTGTAGAAACTCCGATCTTGTGGCTGTCAGAGTGTGGTTGATAGTAGTGGTAGTGGTAATGGTAGTGGTAGTAGTGGCGGCTAATAGTTGCGCCTAGAAGAAACTGGAATTTAATGACAATGATAATGCGTTTTGCTTTGGTTGCAGCAATTAAATTTAACGTCTTCTTGCAATATCAGGCAAATAAATATATTTTACATACATACACATATAATACATATTATAAATATTATACATATGTACATACTTAAGCATATGTGTTATGATGCAAATGCATTTAAACGATTTGCTATGGGAAGTATGGGGAAGTAAACAGTTGGTTGGCTAAGACTAACCAATGACTAGATCAGCTCAGTTATGCATGAAGAGCGCTATTTATTGGTTATTTGATTAAAAGCATAATACTTAAAAAAAAAAAACTATTAAAATATTAATTGGTGCATTTTAGAGAGTTCTATTTATACTTATGTATTTATATGTGCTTGTGCATGTCTAAAATAAACTAACAACTTTCTGTG